TTGCGCCATGCTATGTGATTCATTCCGCTGCAGATATTTGATGACTTAGCAGTCAACAGACTGATAGAATTGTGGCACCAATTTAGGGACTCGAATCATGAAATTCTCTCCCTATTTTTTTTTCAGGATTTTTACATTATGCACCTTTCTACTACTTTGGTTGCGTAAAAGTCAGGGAGTGGTTGAACGTCAGTAAGTGTTGTACTACAACGCGAGACCAAAAAATCAATGCGATTTCGCTTCAAGGTCAAAGTAAAGGCAACGCAGGTTGGATTACAACTCATTCAAAGTTAGCTAACAAAAGCCAACGATGTGTAGCCAAAGTAACTGCTACAAGTGCAGGCAGTTCAGGTCATCATAAACTCAAAGTATTCATTTGTTTAAATTTTCGTATCATGCATGCACTATTGCTTTCTATGCCTAACTAAATGTGGCCTAAATTTAATAACATTTCCCTGCATAATGTTAACTGTTTCATATTGCTAATCATTTCATGGGCTTTAAGTCAATGATTTTATTGTCTTATGTTAATTAAAGTAGGGTGCCTAAGGAAAGCAGTCTCAATGAGCCGTATTCATGATCATTTATGTTCTGGTAATGCCAATGCACATGATGCCAACAAAGAAATTGAGCTGCAAAAATGCGGGCGGAATACATATTGTGTTTAAAGGGCCCTTACACATTGAAGGCGAATATTCATTTCGAAGTCCGTGTAAGAGAGGTCTGCGGGCCTCACTTTCTATACTTTTCTATACTTCGTGTGAACCTTTGGAATGTCAAATAAACCTCTATCAGGATTGGCCTCTTCTAAGAGCCCTAGCGAGGGGAATTCCAAACCACCTGCAGCGGAACTGTTCGATAAACGATAGCTTCTTTTCTGTGGTATCAGTGCCTTGATTGTTACGATTGGAACAACGTCAAAAGACATAATCAACCGTTTGTTTCTTTCGACCCAAAAATCACCATCTGATGCTGACTAGTAATTGTGATAACTTTGCGTCAAAGTCTTCGTATTGACTTAACCGCTCCCTTTAACGTACAGCAAATAATTACACCTTCGATTGAATATCTTAACCCAGTTGCATGAAGTTTATGCTGCCTATGTCGTGCTATTAAGAATAAATACCAATCACACGGTAAAAATAGACAGTGCTAAATAGTAACTGCGGGCGCTCCCGAAGGACATGAAGTTTACGCATTATTGAAAGTTGCCACATTCCAAGTCAAAGGGTTAGTTTCATGGGAGTGTTTTCCCGTCTTGACTTCTCTACTTTACATGCTTTGAAAGAGAACTAACAATAAGGGGAAACTCACTGAATATCTACTGCCAAATCGAAATCTTAAAGACACTAAAAAATCAAAGCGAAGCGTCGAACCAATCACGTTCAGCCGAATTCGTTTTCCTGAATAGATTTTGTGGGCCACATTTTACCTCGTCTTGCTATCCTCCTTCTTCCATTAAATCAAAAATTACAGTAAAAAATATGGAATATGTAAAAATGATGTGTGACAAATATCAGTTTTCCAAATTCATTTTCTAATATAAGGAAATGTACCGCATTCACTGTGTTTTAAAAATCAGGTAATAAAAATTGGATAAGATGGCGATATTAGTAAAGTTTAAGCCTACCAAATTTCAGCAATTGTTTTCTCTGATTCAAATAAGCAAATTACTACACATGTTCAAGTCTTACGATGAATAAAATCAGCAACCTCCTTCCATTGTCTTAACTCGTTTTCCCACATCTTTGGCGATGTTGAAAAGATGACTGGGGGATGAGATAGCAGCATAGGGTCGAACTTCTTTCCATTTTTAGCGATCTCTCCCAGGCTTACGAGGAGCATCCGTTTGAGCCACCAGGGCCTCATTGTGAGATGGACGAGAAGACGTGGATAAAAGGCATCAAGAACACAGACATGTTGTCCCGGAAACACAATAATTGCGCAATCGGCAAGTTCTAGGGCTTGAACGAAGTTATCGAAAGTGGAGTCCAAGTTGCTGCCTCCCACTGACTTTGTTGCAACGCTGAAAAGCTGCAATTCAGATTGGGCTCTCCCAGCAAGCCATTGGGAAAAAGCCTCAGAAAGATCGTTTGAAGGGGGAGGAGCACCGTTATCGACGGTGAGAGCACGTGGTGTGAAAATGACGAGATGTTTGGAGGCAGTTGACATGGCTCGAAAAACAGCTCAAAGCGAAATGTCACACACTATAGCCCATGCACACACAGAAACAACTGCTAGTCACGCCTAGCAGGAGTGGTTAATATTGGTCCAATAAGAGCTGGCTGGCAATTAGAAACCCAGCCCCTTTCATAGTCCCTTTATTGTTTTCCTCTCAAAGGGGATTGGACAGGGCGAAATTGTCCGTTTCCATTGGAGGATGCGTTCCACTACCACGTTGGAGATAATTGCAAGGTTGATAGCGGGAAAATTTATTAAAATGCATGGATTCTAAAAATAAAATACGCGTCTTAGATTCTATTAGGCATGTGAAATAGGCGATTAGCACATTGGTAATAAGTAAAGTTGTTTAAGAGCAATTTAGCAGCCTCTGCGAGGTACGCTTCGAATAGCATTGGTAGAGACTAGCAATATTTTTATTCAAAGTGCTTAGGACTAAAACCAATGCATAATCAAATCGAAATAGACATGATGCTTGCACATAGGAGTGCATTCTTGTTTGGATTCTGAAGTCACTCTATTTCTAATAGGACTGCTAATGTACTCCCGTACTAATATTTCGCATTCATTTTAACCAGATGATATTTAAGTGTCTTTATTTTATGGTGACTAGTTCTTTTTTAAATCATGGAACGCCGTTTGCATTCTGTGAGGCAGATGACCTACCAACAGTAATCCTGAGTTGAGCGTCTATTTTACTCACCTTAATGTCATTAACTTCGTAACGTTCCTAAATTGTACAAATTTTCCTTAACCTAAAGATCTCAGTGTAGTGTCTGTGACGCTCCGTTTCCCCAAAATTTTAGCGAACCATTTGTTAACCTGGTGCCTTCATGAAGCTTTATTGGCGACTAAAAATACGAAAAGGAGCCGTTAGTGGGATGAAGAAGAAAATGAAAGCACACAATTCTTGTCACGCTCAAAAATGATACCCGTTCCGACCTATTCACTCAATTTTAATCAAATCAGACGACAACATAATTTATGGTGCTGCCAACCCAGATTTGGTAAAAGGAATGCAAAAAAGGAATTTCTGCTTTGCGTTGCTTGGATCTTGGCAATTATGACTGCTCAGAGTTCCACATAAAATGCATTCAAAAGCATCCTCTGTACGCCGGATGTTGTTGAGTTTGTTGTGGCTTATCTATCACGGCAATTTGGTTAATGGGTGAGTCAATTTTGATTTATTTGAATTATAAAATCAAAAATAGTATATTTCGCTTTATCGAAGGAGACGAACAAAAATTTTAAGTAGGATTTCTCTAAAAATAACTTTACTAAAATTCAAGAGTAGTAATGAAGCTTTACTTATGAAAGAACAAAGGTGTGGATTCTAGTTTGTTCTTGTCTGCACTTCCAAGGCTGAGGATGGTAGCACCATTCAGAAACTCTTGGGATTGATCATGGGAAGACAACGACTACCATGTAGAGTTAAACGAATAACTGGACCAGAGATCGCTCACTTAGCAAGCACAAATGTGGTTACGTTTCTCCACTACTTGCATGCTTAATCCCTGTCGAAGTTGCAGTTTCACCTTCAATAAATCTAAACGCCCAAAAGGTTGGGGAACATTATTTGTCTCGGCTTTCACAGACTGCAATAATATGCGTTGAAAATGGTAGTCGTATCCTAATAAATGCTTTGCAATGTTGCTATGTTTAAATATTTATCTTCATCGCTATCCAGGGCTCTTGTGGTAAACGAAGTCGGATTGTGTATCTTTGAATGCAAAACTATTTTGAAGCCTTTAAACTACCTCGATTCCATTCAGTCCCTAAGGGCAATGTTAAGCAAAAGACATTCATCATAAAAGGTTAGAATAAGTTTCGGATGCTCCTTTCGTGGTCAATTTGCACAATGTCCCCAGATCAGTTCAAAATAGCATTGGTATTCAGAGGAAATGCTTAATCCAAGCTGTCAGGAGTGATTGTCTCATAAAGGTGACACTCAAGCTCATATTTCGTATATGGTGTAACTATGACCTGGAGGAGAAGATGAGCTTTGAATGAAAGCACCTACTTTCAAAGATTTAGTCTGAAGCCCATGGAGGTTAGTGCCTTTTAAGGTTAACTTCACACTTCAAAAAGCAGTTCCATCATGACGCTCGGCCCTATTCCACACATACCAATTGTGTGGTGCGAAATGGCCAAACTCCTAGATGTCGTCACGACAGTAGGCCCGATGAGGAAGATGTGGTATCAGCCGTATGTTTGCATTGTAGCACCAAACTATTTAACTTAGTATTTGAGGGTGGGTACACATTTGTTAACAGAACGTGAGGGTGATTTTGGTAATTTTTATCAGCAAATGTTCACATTACCAACTTGCATAAAATATGATACTTACTGAAATTTCCACTGCATCTTAAGTGCTCCCAAAAATGAGGTCTTTTATGGGTGAACGAAATCACATGAAATTTTGCTAAATTATAAAAATTATCTTTGATTGCAGTGTAGTTCTCGACTTCGACTCTATGTGAGTGCTTTGGAGTACTTTAGTAGACTGAAATCGAAGTAAAAACGAAGTCCTTAAAAGGCGTTAAGCTGACTATGATCACCTTCCAAAAATACTGCACAATTCAATTCCAAGAATGAGTGGAAATGTGTCCGCACACGAGTTGGTGTTTGCAGTAGAGAAGTTTACTTGACGAAGCTTGATCGAAACATCAGGGAGGCGGCTTGGAACCGGAAATCAAAAGCAGCCCTTCAGTGCATGCGAATATGTTGAAGAACCTCTCCACAATAAAAAATACAAATCTTTACGGCATCAAAGCATAACTTTGTTAAAAAGAAGTACAAGAAGACTAAAACTTAAACTTACATGTCCTTCGGTCGCCCTATGCTTAAAAATGTTTTGGTTTTAAAAGGTGTTTTAAAGGAGAAGTGCCCAAGAACAACGTTCGAGATGAAAGCATTTGCATTTCCACTACGACCTGCGACCTTGCTTGTAATCGGAGAGCTTCGTAAAATCGTTTGGAAATTATGCCTGTATTCCCATCTTTTTTGTCCCAATTTATGTGTCAGTCTTTTATCCTACCTCACCGTCACAAGCTCTTTCACAAAGGTAGCCAAAGCTTACAACTGAAAGTGAGGATGCTTGTTGATAAGGCGAAGATGATGCTTAGAAAGATTAGTTTAAGCACTATCAAACATTTGCATTGAAGAAGGGCACATTATAATTCCCATTTTACTAACAGCTCACTTTACTACACTGGTACCGTTTAGAAAAGAACGCACTCGATTGCAACAATGATACCTTTGAACGATACCCTTTGATGGAAATGATTACAGGCACACTGAGAAGACTATTCCTTCTACTTTTGTAAGTTCTAGTACACAAATCTCTAAATAAGGAATAATTTCCAGTACGTAAGCATAGGCTAGATTGAGATTCAAATTCTAGTGTCCTGTGAACAGACGTTTTATTCATTAACGAACACAAATGAGCGAAAGGGCAACTCGTGTTTGTTAAGCTGCTGAGTCTCGGAGGAACTCAATGACTTCGGCCTTGCACACTTGTATTTTTAATTTACCTTGGCTTTATAAATAACCACTTGTAAAGTCAAAGTGGATCTGGACCCGGCATCAGTCGGTCTATTGAGGGAATGTGAAAGCGCTACTCTTTTGAGGGTTACAGGGCTAACGCTTAACTTTATACACTTGTCTTTTCCTTTCTCCCGTCACAAAAGAGTACTAGAAGAATGCTTCTTGCAAAAATGCGCCTTAGCTTCCGCTGCACAGACCACTATTTCGGCTCTGCGCATTTCCTGGTCTCTTTCAAACGTTCTTTGTAATACCTTGTTTATGTGACCATATGACGTTTGGTCGTCACTTTAGGATTGGTCTGACCCTTCTATACGTGGGCCAGCCTTCGGGCCATGCTCAGGCCCATTTGTCGTCGTCTTCGGAATACATGTATCCAGCTGCACTTACGAACTTCTTATACTGACTAGGAAGTCTCGGGACGCTATATTCTTCAACATAACAGCGCCAAAGTTTAGGTATCTCCACTACCTTTAAAGTAATTTACGTACGCGAATCAAAAATTGTTTTCGTGGCCAAACTATTCGAACGTTTGGCCTCCCTACACATGGGCCATCGGAACAATTGTTTCAAGACGAAAAGCTTTTGTCCTGCATGATACAGTTATTATCAACCAAAATATCTACCCAAATTTGCTAGAGTGAAGAATATAAATGCATTTTTTATTATATTTCTTTGCACTTAAAAATTCATTGAACACAAGCTGTTATGCTGGGTATAAAATGGGTACTAAGGCTAGCTTTTGCCATCCCAAAATGTTTATACTCAACTGGTTGGCCTGTTTATGCGCGATGTCAACCTCTGCGTACGTGCGCGCGTGCGCTGACACGTTTGAAAAGCCTGTGCGTTAACACACGCGTATTGAGTTTCCGAATGCTGCATCCCAGTTCAACATCACATCCGTTTCAGATCCGGAGCCCTATATCGTTGACGACATCCTTGAGGAAGTAGTTAAACCGTTTGGCAAATAACAATTTATCGTGCTGATGCTAAGCCTCAGTATTGACGTTCCAGCAGCAATACTTCTCGTTTTTGGCAACTACACCTTCAAAATTTCATTGCCGAATGGAACCAAACATTCCGAAAATACTTTTTGACAGGCCAAATGCAGCTTTGATAAATCTTGATCTCCATAGAACTAAAGCGTCTCTAGAAACATCTAATGACTAACACAGAATTTCGTTTGGTACCGTTGCTGTGTCCATTGGACCCTGAGGCAATCAGAAGACAGCTCTTGGATGTCACCGCTACAAACGCAACTATGCAAGGATTCGAAAGCTGCAGGAGCCATTTTGGGTGGCGAAGTCCGCCTCGGTAAAGGCGTGTCCACGGGGCTGCATTCATGAAGCGGATCAGTATTGAAAGGGATCTAGTTTGTGATAAGGAATGACTTGTACGACTCAGTATGTTGATGTATATGCTTTGTATGGTGCCCGGATTCTGAATCGGTGGAGTCGCTGCCGACTTCATCGGTCGAAGGACAATAGCACTCGTTTTTTGGGCCCTCCAAGTAACTGTTGGAGTGGCGTGCTCCTTCGGTTCTACCGTCACCTCATACGCAGTCTTTCGTTTCTTCCTTGGCTTGACATCAGTGGCTAGAACCAATGCTCTTTTTGTTCTGTCTGTTGAAATGACCACAGCAAAATATCGTTGTTCAGAGTTTCTTTAGGAGAGTGCCAGCAGCCTACTTCATTTCTCACTGTCTATGCCTCAACCTAGCCATCATACCACCCCTTGCCCTAGGAATTCCTAAGTTCTGGAGTCTACCAAAATCATCAAGGTGGATACTTTCCAAAAAACGTTGGAAAGAGGCAGCAGATGTACTTTACAGTGGCTACCCTATAAGCACCGGCTACTCTGTTTATGGAAAAGTCTGATTCCCGGCGGTGACTTTAAGATTTGTCTGAATCTTGTACCCGTGAGCTGGACTTAGGGCCAAGCTCGGGTCTGATCCTCCTGTTCTTTCTGGAACACATATATTCGGCTCAACTTACTGGCTTCCCCTATCCTGCGGGAAGCCTTGAGATGCCAAAAATACGAGTTCTACGTTGTGGTGAATAGTTGTTTAGATCGTAACGATGCTCTTGGAGTTTTGCATTCACTCAGCAGTACACCCCTCACCTTTATTTATGGTCTCAAAGCCATATAGTACGCTAAGTATGAGCCTCTCACAGTGATGCTTAATTTGAACATAAAATAAGGAATGACTTGGTAATTTCATCGTAACAACTCAGTCCCTATAATAAGTGACCAACTTACAATGAAAAAATCGCATAAACTAGCCATGTGTGTTAGCAAGTTTACCCAAAAGACATTGGTATTTTGTTAAACCATCTTAACAAATAGTTAACAGATAATGTTATTGGTAGGCTTTTCTCATTTGATTCATGATTGGTACGACGGCTGGTGAACGTATAATTTAGCCTTTTCCAATTTCCAGAAGATGGAGACAATGATAATGAACCAGCCCATTGTTGTGGATATGGTACGCCATTCTTCTTGTCTCAAAATAAATTTCAATGTTCGTCCCGTAATATGGGTGCCGCAGAACACTTCTATTTACCTTTTTAAGTCATCGTTAATTGGATTCGCAGTTCGATGTTTTATACTGCTTAAAGTTAGTTTATCCTGAGGTCTTGTACTCTATGTACTTTCATGACTTAAAACTTGAGTACGTTACTTGTCGTTATATAACATAAAGTTGTTTATGTGGGCAACTACCTAGTGGGTAGTAACAATGCTACTGTAGCATTGCTTATGAAGGGAAGCGACAAACTGCATTTAAGTAGAAAAATGCATTATTCAATTCTGGCTTTTAATACTTTATGTAACTTTACCATATCGTTGAATAAACTGGGGAGATAAGTCGTTTTATGTTGGTGAACCCCCGTGCTCCGATCATTAAATTTCCTAATTTAACAGGGCACCGGTGTGCTCAAAGCAGGATTTGCGGGTGATCAGACCCCCAGGCATTATTTTCCGAATTTGTGAGTTCATTTAAGATGCCAATTATTTAAACCAGTCCTTAATTGAATCTTGTAAAACACTCCTCAATATTGAATCACAGCATTGGACGACCTAAACATGTGCGAGCGATGGCAGGCGCGATTGAAGGGGATCGGTTTATTGGCCCAAAAGCACAGGAGCACCGAGGGCTGTTGAACATCCGCTATCCCATTGAACATGGCATTGTGCGTGACTGGAATGATATGGAGCACATCTGGCACTACATCTACAGCAAGGAACAAATGACAGTCAGTTCAGAGGAACATCCAGTGCTACTCACGGAGGTGCCACTTAATCCCAAGCGCAACCGCGAGAAAATGGCCGAAATGCTCTTTGAGACCTTTAGTGTTCCTGCCCTTTATGTCTCCATGCAAGCTGTTCTGAGTCTGTGAGTTTGCGCTCTTTCAAAGTGGGTTTTGCAACTCACTTCTGAGGCGCGTTCTGCATGTATGTGAGTGTGAGCCTAACTGACGGTAGAATAAATTAATAGGAATGTTCCTACCACGATAGCCGAGTGTAGTTTTCTATTCATATTAACTTAATAGCTGGTAGTAAATGCCCTTTCATTTTATGTTAATGTAAACTACATTTCCTCAAATAGTTTCAGCGATGCAAAAAAGCTTTTGAGTTTTGCTCAGTTGAACGACTTCTGTCAATCACGAAATTCACAAATACTAATTGTCTAGATGATTTTGCTGTAATACTCATAAATAATTGGTTTCAATGGAGATTTGGTAGCGCATATCGTAAGGTAGGTCAAAATAAATGGTCTTCGGTTGCTAAATACTACTTTTTAAGATCTGTAATATTTAGAAGTAACTAAGACCCTCATTGGCTTTTGTGCTGTTTATTCTGGTGTACTTTAATCGCGACATTTGAACAAAACTGTGGATTGGATGATATACGTTAGAACTTAACCTGAATCGCCTAAATCTTTATTGGTTTGTCTGACTGACACACGATTATAGTGTCGTTTTACTTGTTCATACCTTATGAAAAGACAATTGAAGCACGTATTCTATTCCATTCACCTCGGCATTATCGAAGCTTCAATACATCTATTATTAAAATATGGACCGAGTAGGTAAGACGCTTAGTTGCTTACTCCTTCACATTTTGATTCCTGCGTTATTCGTATAGTACGAATAGTGCTGCGGGTGACTGGCATAATATTAGTATCACGGCGGACCAAGAAAAGTAACTTTGGAGTAGTCTAATCACTCACTCACTTTAGGTGCTATCCTCTTCAATCAGATACGCTTCGGGTCGAACGACGGGAGTAGTGTTGGACTCGGGTGATGGGGTGACGCACGCGGCACCGATCTACGAGGGCTACGCGCTTCCTCACTCCATCGAGCGCACCGACTTGGCGGGGCGCGACGTGACGCGTTATCTGCGTTTGCTGCTGCGCAAGGAAGGCACCGACCTGCATACGACAGCAGAGTTTGAGATTGTACGTCAGATTAAGGAGCGTTCCTGTTTCGTTAGCCTTAGCCCCGGTAAAGTGGAGGCAGTGGAGGCACAGGAGTATTACCGCCTACCCGACGGGTCTCCTCTCCAAATCGGCCCCGCCCGTTTCAAGGCTCCTGAACTTCTTTTTCGGCCCGACCTTATTGGCGAGGAATACTTTGGTGTTCATCAGGCAAGCTTCCTCTATTCGCAGTCTTGGGAACCAGAAACTACTTTTAGTTGTAAAATAGGTCTATTCTTTTCCTTTTTCAACGCTTCACTTATTTTTGCATCAATGAGTTTGGTTATCGTTGGCGTCGGGGTAGCCATGACTGCAGAACGAATGTTTAGCGAACCACTACTATACTATTTAACTGGGAAATGCTTCGAATTTATGATAGGCTGCCGATGAAACCCTTCAAAGCATTTTCCATCATTTTTGTTGTGTTGTTATCTCCGAAGTGTTTTCTTTTTTTTTCTCATCTCCGCCATGTTCCTTCGCGGCTTCACTGTGGAACTCTTAAGACAGGCTCATTGATCGAACCACGGTACTGGTTTAACATTTTGTGTTCACGCTCTAAGGAGTCTTGCTCTTGTCTAAGACAGTCAGTTGTCATCGGAATTTCTGAAGCTTGAAGAATTTTTATACTGGATGATAGTGGGCATTACACCTCGATGTACGTGATACTACTGAGCATGAAATAATTACAGACGGTCCTCTTCCTGCCTAGGAACTGTCAGATTGTCAAAAGTTGCTGGGGCTTCAGACTGGGTTCAATGCACTTATTTTTTTTCCTGATCTGTTAGTTGTGCGAAAGTTGGTATCGCTATTTGGCCTTTTGATAGGATCCATAAACTAGTATTTGTGGTAGCAAGCCAGATGAAGACAAGATCCTTCCATCATCTTATTCAATAAAGATTTTGCGAATAGCTATGCTCTGTTGACGCAATATCGACGAAGTATGAATCTTACTAATTAGCCGTTTGACTCCAACCATTTCCACATGCGCTTTATCAGACAGTTTGTCTTCCCAGAATAAATCTAATGGTACGCATCACTATTGAAATCAAAAACCACGCGAAGCCAACCTTTTGGGTCATATTTCTTGCCCTGCTTCAGTTTGGAGAGCACTTACATCCCTTTGCGATACCTTTACCTTGAGGTGTGGTAGGGTCTTGCCGATCACTTCAAAGCACTATTTTTCTCCTATTTCTGTATTTGTTTACGCTGAGAGGTTAAGCAGAAGTTTGTATTTGGTCCGTAGCATTTATTAGCAAACTTTAGTTACGAATATGAAACTGGCTTTCTCCGAATGTTGAAGGTTGACATCTTCTTTCGGGCCTTTCAGTTTGTTGTTTTCATCTGGTTAGGGTACACCAATGCCAAATATGCACTTATGAAATGCTACAAACTTCTTTATACAGGTTAACGCGGGAGCTGCGGTTAACAAAAAAAGCTAAACAGCGTTTAAATTTCCCACTCAACGAATGGGATGTTTCGTTGGAGCACTGTAGCCAACGACCATTCGATTTTTCCCAAACGAATTCTGGTTAGTTCATACAATGCTATGCCTTCATTGTTCTATGCTTCCTGCCTCTATCCTATTGCTTGTTTCGATTCAATTCGTGGATACTTGTTTGAACCGTATTACTATGGAGGAGTACTTAGTTCCACTTTATCTTTGTCCTTTCTAAAGCATAAATTAGGTAGTGACGGGTCATTCATTCACGTCCACTTGAGTCTTTAGCAGTTAACTGATAACGGTGAACCCTCGTTATAGCGACGCTCTTTTGAAGAGTGTAAAATAATGTATGAGAAACCACCTCTCACCTCGTTTTGGCTTTGATCGGCAGTCCACCAATTTACTCTTCCACAAATTTTAATGATTATTGAATCAGTCGATACCTCCATTTATGGTTTCACAAATAACCGTCGTCTTTCATGTCTAAACCTGAGGGGGAATTTTAACTTTTTTGGAGCCGTAGATGGATCCATCAGAAGATATCAAAATTCCCGCAATGAGCATGTATGCATGCACATGCCCCTGTGCATTGATCTGTGCAAGCACACACGTGCGCACCCACGCGCGCTTGCTCGCGGTTGTGCTAGCCTACGCCTGTTGGAGCCTGCTAAAATTATGCATTCTCTGCTTTTTGGTAGCTTACAGGGTCTGCGTACAAATAAGTGTTGGATGAACTGCGTTTCGGCCTTACGGTATTCATATCGGCTCATTTTCAACCCCCTTAAGGATCGGACGCCTCGTCTATTTAGCAAGGCTGATTAGCACTCCGAGAAAATTGCTGAGTCATGTGCGGTTTTCCATAGATTGCTAGGCGTTTGGAAGATCTATGTTCTTAATCACCCGGTGAACATAGGTCTTTGTCATTTCCTATTGCATCATACTTGCCTCACTCTGAAAAATCACTGTAAGCTTGATTCCATTCATATTTGAAGAAACTACTTCGTGTTTCGTGTCTTGACCAAAAGTGGCGCCCCATTGCTTTCTAGTGCCTAATATGAGAGCAATTGCCATCATATTGGTTCTTCCGTTTCTGACGATTAGATTCCTTAAGAGTCAGGTGCATCATTTTTCCCTCTTATCACCCTCCACTTTCAGGTATTGGCATACTCCATTCAGAAGTCAGATATGGATCTACGTCGAATGCTATATGAAAACATCGTCCTGTCTGGTGGTTCTACGCTATTGAAAGGTGAGACTTACGTACATTGTGCATTTCTTTTCGAAGAAACCAAGTTGTATCATTTTAGACCAATTCATTTTTGATGTCAGTACGGCATATAAAAGTATTAAGCTTTCATTCACTTATTGTCCATGTGTATTAATGTTACGGAAATTCACTAAATCGAATGTTGATTTTGATCTCTGCTATCATAACACTCTGCAGCTACGCTTCTCGTATTTTGATCGAAATGGCTTAGCTTAAAGGCTTCATTGACGTTAAGTTCAAACGTTTTTTATCATCTAGTAGTGCGAGTTAATGTTGGTGTTTTGTCTTGTCAGAAAAATTTTGGCACACTAAAGAACACTGGTGTCTCTTGGCTTTTATTCATTGTTATTTTGAGAGTAAAACGTAATGAGTTGTCTTCAATTGTATTTCCGATTTTGATGGCGGAATCGCCTTACAAATTGTGAATTTAACTCACGTTTTTTAACAAGATTTATGCCTCATACGCGAGTGTACTGATTCTGAAGCTCGACTTTGACTAAAGGAACTTTAGTGAAGCAAAGCAGTTCTTTGAAGTATTTTTTAGAAATAATCTTCGAAAGCCTAACTTCATGGCCAGTTGGTTTGGTTTAAATGAGAGGTAGTGCTCACGATTAGTCTCACAATTTGGTGCTAGATTTTTTTCTCAACATGGGAAAAGGAAGTGCATTTCGTATACTCATTTTTAAAGTGGATCTCAAGGCCTAATGTCTAACATAAAGCTTGGATTGTTGATTAGATCGAATTAATTGTTAAAACTTTACTCACGCAACCAAGCATTAAGGAATTTTCGAGTAAACGGATCATAAAATGTTTTGGGCCTCAATTCTAAACGGTTTTGTAGTCCTCCTGTAAGCGACAAAATCTTTACTACTTTTTTAGACCAAGTAGCTTTATTAAAAATTAAGGCAAATTTCTAATTGTCGAGGCTCGACGTGAGCAGTGCTTTAAGCGGAACTATCATGATGATTTATTGAACATACATAATGATGTTTCAAATGACTGTTGCCTATGACATCAGCATTTGGAACAACTTTATTACCGTATGGTAAAAGTGGCAAAGTAGTGGCTCAAATTTGGTCAGGTAATTGGGTGAATCTGTTTTTGTGATTTTTTGCTGGAATGCAGTAAGTAGGCAAATACGGTCTGGTAGAGGACGCATTACCTTCCATCGTTCTGATCGCCTATTCTCTCATCTTTTCTGCTATCAGGTTTCGGCGCTCGTCTACTGTTGGAGATGAAACGCATGGGCCCAAAAGACGCCAAGTTACACATCTCAGCCCCCAACGAACGCCTCTACTCCACGTGGATTGGTGGCTCCATCCTTGCTTCGTTGGCTACCTTCAAAAACATGTGGATTTCTAAGCAGGAGTATGAAAGTGAAGGTCCTGCTGTTCTGCATCGAAAATTCCTATGATATTCCTCATCCTCCTCCCACTCACCAAACCTTGCTCCACTATTTTACTGTTTCCAAATTATCCTGTGAATTGTGTTCTCTTTCACTCACTCACATACTTTCTTCCCCTTCTGTCTTTTGGGTACAAGAATTACCATCAATAAAGTCCCGTCTTCTGCGCTGATATAATTGGATTGAATTACGGTCCTGTCCTTTGGCACCTATTAATAGTATCAGTATGGCCGGGTAGGTGTATGGATGAAGTTCCGTTGTCTAGTTTCGGTTGCTTCTTTCCATTCAATGTGTTAGTCAAAATTTGTGGCTGCGCTTGGCTGTCGACGCAATCCTCAACATCTTTGGCCTTATCCTAAGTAGATACGATTGTAAGACAATAAGAGGTTGTTTTAGTACCTTCCAGGCAAAATTACTTTGAATTGGTCAGCAAGATTTGCACGCTCAGAGGTGATTAGGGCGATGGGTCTTAGGGCTTTTCCGCTCAACTACGGATGTTTTGAGGCAACAGAAAGAAAACCATGTAAGGTTTGATCAACGGCTAGGTGTTAGTGCTGGTGTTAGCATCTTGGTCTTCGTCAGGCATCACTACTCCGCTAGGGTTATTGTTGAAACATCGGCTAGAATTTTCTATTTTTCAAAGAAAGCTAAGGTTAAATGGGGTTGATCATCAGTGTTGAGAAATTTATGCGTTGGGATGCAAGTTGCGAAGTCCCACTGTCGAATTTTGACCAGTTCAGTAATTTCAAAAGCTAGAATAATGCGTTAGTCGTTTTCTTCTTAATTTATGTAAAGTGATCTCTTTGGATCTTTGCCTTTGTACCCATACTGGATGGGCTGTCCAGCAACCTCGGCTCCATAATGTGAAGGGTATACTAGCGGGACACATTGTTGCGGAAGATTATCGTCTTTTACACGCCAAATGGTTCAAAAGTCCTGAGTGCCGTTTTCGTATGCAGTCCTTTAAAGCTTACGTAATTTCCAAAGATTCCTTAATTCTTGCGAGTGAAAATGAAAGGGCTATAAGAACCTGGAATCGTTCAGAATGTTCGCAACAAAGAATAAAGACGCCGACATTATTTTGGCTCCATTTAATTATTTCTATGGCTTTAGTGCCTAAAAAGTTGATTAATGCGTGCTTGGTCTTTACTACGATTTATTATGTCTGAAAGGGGCTCATTTAAAAATAACAAAAACCAATGAGGAAAACCTGTAGTGAGGAAACAAACGGAGAATTGCAATTACAATGAGTAACCAACATACCAGCATAGCTAACGTCTGCTACATTTATGCATTCATTTGCCACTTATGTAGTAATTAACCATTACGACTTATAATTACCACTCATCAAGCGGCCTATTCGATGAGAAAAATGGTAACAACTGTTAGTGAACAACAACCTCTTATTAATTTGACGCCTTTGACTTCTAAAAGTAGGGCGTTTCCCTTTGGATATGGCTGCTGTCAGGAGTTAACCTTACGAATCTCTGAAGTTTCTAATGAACGCAATGTAATTCGCCATCACCACTCAATGCCTTCCTAAGTAAAATTAACAGGTTGTAAAAATACGCAACTGTCTGTGCCCCATCCAATCCAATTAGAAATTGATTTAATTTTGACACTCTCTAAGATATGGCAAACATTTGCTTGAAGAATGTTTAAAGCGGATGTGTCACACATCCTTAGAGAATAGAAAGTCTCATTTAAGAGGTTGAGTAGTACCACATGGACTTCCTATGGGGTACCACAATCACGAATTGGTGTTCCTTTGGGTGAACTTTTACTAGCTGCGCCAAACGAAAACCAAACGTCATTCACGGTGTCCTCCTCATACACACCTTTGTGCTTAGATAATTCATCTAATGGAAGCACACATGTATGATCCTCACCCCAGTCTAGTTAGATGCGCGGTTCTTGTTGCAGGCATTTGCATTGTCAGCTGCACCAAATCATGCCCCAAGCAAACTGGCAGAGTTGGATGCAGTTTTTACATTTCATTACCGATATATTGCCGAGCAGTACAACTATTCCTGTTTTTGGCCTTCGAGGAAAAGAGCATGGCTACAATCCTGCATGTATTGTAAGCGGCACCGCCGGATTTATCATGCTAACACAGTGTGCACAATATGACGTGGGCTTCTCAGCCTTCCCCATTTGAGTCTCTACACTCATCATTCATGATTGCAGTCTTTAAAGTCATTTTGAATGCAGTGCTAAACCCCTTAAGGGAAAAGTAATTGCTCCATCACTGGTTTAACGGTAAAGCATGTCCAAACCTCATTTCTTCAGAATATTTTAGCAAGATTAGATTCTGCATAGGTAAGTAAGCTGCTTTATGACTGTTGCAGAGAGATCAAGGTAGACCAGGAATAAAACTGCTAAATGTTGTTAGAATCCATTAATTGGACTAACTATAAGTCTGATTACCTGTAAGAAATTATAAAAGGCAAAGGGAACGATTTCACTTACGATGGATGCGGGGTAGCCGACTCCGAAAACGGCGAGGCCAAATGATGTTTTCGTCTGTTGAGTACCATCGTTTAAACGTCACCAGTCAATCTCAAGCCTAATTTTCACTCACTACTACTATTCTCTGACAAACGACTAAAAATGTAACGTGACACTTTCCAAGATAAGCTAAGTTAAAAGAGGAAACGAGTTCAGTGCATTGTAGCAGGTCAGTCCTTCAAGGTGTCAGGGGTGTTTGGAAGAAAATTGGCCCTCCATCAGTGGTACTGAACACGGCCTGCAAACCGATGTAACTTTTAAGTCTAACATCTTCAACGGTCGGCTAATCATTGCAGAAGGTCAATGACCAAAGGCGAACTTATCGTCATAAAGGTTAATGAAAAGTACTGCTCCTAAACCGGTATGATGCAGAATATGATGTTTCTAGAGTTTGAGAGCACATCATTTACTATAATTGAGTGTTTGCTTTTGTATTTCGGCAATGAGATAACGCTGGTTCAGGTAGTATTTGCATTTTAGCGTTTCCACTTCTCTCACCCATACTTTTGTGTTTCAAAGGGTAGAGCGAACAAGTTATCATAAAATGCGTCTTCTTATCATAGGATTTGCCTATTTTTCGATATGAAGGATTCGAAGTACTGTTAATTGACGAGGAGGGATTTAAAAGTGTGACAACTCGTGCAGTGCTGAGGTGCACTGTGCATTATGAGTACAATACACTTAATTGTGGTGAGGACTGCGACAAGCCCTTAAACATGCATAAGTAAGCCTTTATAGCTTTAAATCTAACGTCGTAGAAATTCGCAAAAGGTTAATGGAAATTTTCAAGAAAAAAGCTAGACGCAATAGTGACTGAAGCACAGACCTTTCAAAAGATGCATCGAACATCTTATGTATGCCCATGTCCCTAAAACTCATGCTTAAAGGACCATTCGAGAGTGTACTTTGCGAAGACCGTATTTTTTTCAATTGACACTGAGATAGTGCTGAATAGAATACGTGCTAGTTAAGTTAGAATTTGTCTAGCGCAACAGCGCCCGTGGTGTGAATAAAAATTTTAGCTAGTCGAAAGTGTATCAACAGAATCAGACACCAGGAACAATAAAAGTATTTAACGCTGAAGTCGATGGCCTTTTATTTTGCAGGTTGACTACAGAATTTAGGTTTAAAATGTTTCATTATTCTAAAATGTTACGCGAATTAACAAAGTAACCATTAGTTCTCAATTAATTTTGCTAAGTACTTACTACAATCCGCAGCGCCTTTCATACTCAGCAGCACTAGAAAACTTTAAAAAACACTTTCAGTAAACACTTAATCCTGCGAATGGCGATTTCATCAAAAAACAGCCGCGTTCCAAATTGACACCTTTCCGTAGCTGTCCCCAAGACTTTCGTCCTAAGATGTTCCAATGAAGGAGACTTGAACCGCTAGCCATTTTCTGGTGGAGGAATACAAAACCAGATAGGTGGGTGATTGCTGTGCTTCTGCAGTCGAAAAAGGCATAATTTTAACCAACTTAGATGTTTGCTTAATGATTTAATGAATATGATATTTAGAGGAAAAAAACTAGGATGACAGCCTGCAAAGGCTGTCAGCTATGTAATAAGTAGTGGGTGCATATCACCCATTTTGTTTGGTTTTACCAGCAGGCATGGAAGCCTGACTTCTTGTAAACTGCACTACCGTGAGCAAATCTTCACAAGCCAAACTCATGACTCAATTACATGAACTGTTTAAATTATAGCACAGGGATTGAGAGTGTGCACGATAGCTTAGCGCAGTGGAACGAAAATCCGACGACTCCTAAGGTTTTAGAGTCACATAGTGCGAAGACGAATAAATAAAAGGGGTTCGACAGTAAGTCTGCTTTTCTTGACTTGCTTATTTCTCCAATCTTTGACTACAAGGCCAACATTGGGGCATCAGTTACTGGCTTTAAAATAAGAAATGAATAAACGGTATGAGTTATTTGAGCAAAAGCTTTTAATCAAGAAAGGCTTCAAATTTAAGTTAAATTCGCTGGTTACGGGTCTGTTATTCCAGATTTGATTGTCTGATAATAATTGTCTGTTGGAATACACATTTTTGAATAACAAGCGGTAAGGAGGGGTGAGGGGTGGAGGCACCTCGTAATGACGACAACAGTGTCAATTCCCAAGGAGGACAGGAATCCCCATTCCCCATAAACCCCTTTACTACTCTCATAATCTTTGCCTTATCGGTCCGCTACTTCCTTTAAGAATCAATCTTCTTTATTCAAAGATTTAAAACCAGAGGTTGAAGGGAAAAATGGAGAAAGTACAACAATCCTTGAAAGCTAATCTGATTTCTGGGTGTGGTTTATAAAATGCCTATGAAGGCATTTTTCGTTTCCGTTTGTTGTTGTAGAACAGCAATTGTTTGAGGGGGATTAAATTTTTTTGGCGCAGTTTATATTAGTATGGACTGGACAGTTTACACAATCTTTTCAATTTACATGGCTGTTTTCAAAATGACCCAATAAATGTTTCCAGCACATTTTTGTTCAATGCGCCCTTTTCAAAATTCACAATTAGACTTCCCTGAACACAAGTCAGTCGGGTCGTGTTGCATTAGCATCGTTTTTGCAATAATGAGTGCTTTGTAGGACTTAACGTGGGACATGATTCCAGCGATTCTTTTGATGTTGATAACGATCCGCTTAAATTCACTGGAAACCGAGCAACTCCTCCACTGGAGCACCGCTAAATAAATATAAATCCTTAAGGAGATTGAAGGCTAGATTACAATGAAAGACGTGGAAATGAGCGATAAAGTGAAAGGAAGATAAGAAGGCGTGATTCAGCACCTAGTGAAGGAATATAAAACAACTGGAAGAAGTTGCATCCTGAGATTCAAGCCTTGGTTGGATTTATTGCAAAATGGATCTCAAATCAGATGCAAATTGTATAGTTAGTTCCAGAAACTTCCGGTAATAAGGCGAACGTACTGGTGTATAAAAATGTGGTAGATTAGTTAAATTTACATGTCTGATTTGACTGCCGACATTAGTTTTACAATCAAGACTGCATGTCCTTTTAACTCCTTCCGCAGAAGATCCGTCCATATCAAGCGGATTATTAAATGTTCTTCTTTCACCTACCCGATGCTGCGAAAATTTGTATATTATCCCTACTTCATAGAGGCTACCATTTGTCAACATACTTGTTAAAAGCTTATCCCAAAGCTTGGATATTTGTAGAACATGAATGTGTTAGCGCCTTTGATTAACAATCAAAATAAAAAACGAACGGAAATACGGGAAGCAACGATCTGGCTTTCTAGAACTTTCAAAATTCTAACACTTGCATACGTTGTTCAAGAGTTTCGACAGGTGCCATAAAATCCATTCATTTTATGAATATTGGCATGAAACACCTTTATTCTTAGTAAGCTGCAAAATTATAAATCTTGTTAGGAACTGAAACTGGTTCTCCGACGTCAACCGAACGATTAAAATTACAAATGCCATGGAGAGAGATAATTTCATGAACTGCATGAACTGCAGGGTCGGGATCAGTCATTAATAAGTAGTTTTGCTTAGAAGAAACCGAAATGAGCAGGTCCATAATCTATAAGTTTTTATCTAAATATTTAATTTTATTTTTGAGCTTCAGGTGAGGTAGAGCCTCTACCGAGATGGTGTTCGTAGGTCCAATTGCGGATTTTCGCCTTTAGTTGGTTTCCCCAAGATAAGTGTCCAAAAAGCTGTATTCTTTGCAATGGGTTGCTTACATGTAACCTGTTAGCTGGACGATTTTATAGATGCCTTTAAAATCCTGCAATGAGGCTATGAATTTGTAGCTATGAAGTTTATTGTACGCATGAATTGTACGGCAAAACGGTATTTTATGCAAGGTGGTAAAACATGTTGGCAAGAATTTTGTATTTAAGAACCTGCCATAAAATATGTTGCCCATTAAATTTTGTGATCATCAATGGTTTGCGAAAGGATTACTGGTGAAAGTTTGTCAATAGATAGGATTGACATTACCTGAAAGTCTCAAGTTTCAACAGCTATTAGCAGTTACAGTTTTCAGGATTTTTAACAGCTATATGGATAAATAAAACCCTTTTTTTAAACTTTTTAGTTAGGACCAAGAACTTTTATGGATCTACATGCGATTCTTAACTCAAGTACTTTTAAGCCTTAAAAGAAAATTAAGGCTGGGAGCCATTTATTTTAATAAACCTGCTTCATTGCTACCTGTTCCATGAAGTGAAGTTTAAGTAGTACTATGACTGTGACCTATTCGGAAAATATTGTTCGTTTGACTCGTATTAAAATAGGTACATAGCTTTGTCCAATCGTTCATGACTAGCTATAAAGAAGCACCTGATAAAATGTTTACACATCAATTTTAAGATATGTTTTCCGGTTAATTTAATTTTGATTGGTGCATCTTAGTTCCTCTTTACCAATCGCATTTAGGGAAGATGGATTTCTTCTGATTTTCTGATACCTGATTGGTCAACTGATGAGTAACACCGAGAATTTAACTTCCATCCATCTGACATTTTTCCCAACGTTGAATCAGTCAAACCTACTAGAGGTAAGTTTGAAGCCTCATTTAACCTGATTAAATAGGCGTCTCAGGAATCGCCATACCTAAGCAAAATATTTTGAGCACATTACCCTACAAAGATGGTGTTAAGCTAAGGACTTTTTGAGAACTTATTTCCAAATCATTATGTGGTATGCAGTTAAAACAAGTATCTATATTTAAATAAGTAAGAACAATTTAGACTCCGTTACTATTAGCCAAGCCCAGCTTTAATACTAAGCCGTTTTGGGTGCAATTTCTAATCTCTGGTTTGTATTTTGGTCCGTAATCAGTCCGTCATGGTTCACGTTGCTAAAAAGTACTTTTCAGAACGCATCTGCTGCCTTATTTATGCAAAGTATTAAACAAAACCCCAATTGACTTAAATGATATCATTAACTAGGCCACATTCAGCGCATGAAAATCGGCAGCAAATAGTAAATGCATTCACTGTATTTACTTTGTAATTTGGTATTACATGTAGGCATGCCAATTAGCCATGAGGTGTGTGTTTTATAGACTTTGCGAAGGCGTCTTTATAAGTGCCACGAATAAAATATGTTGCTTGTTATTAAACTCACGACAGAGTGCCAGGTGTGAAGGTAATGTGCAGCAGTAGAAGAAGTAATGAGTGGTCAAATAGATGCATAAAATGGTGGAGGATGTCTTAAAAATCAAACAAACAACAAACAAACGCTTTCTGCCAAATTCTGATTGTAAGCTAATTTCAAAGTGTACCAACAAAATTTCTCTAAGTGTGATAAATAGACACTGTCAATGGACACTTCATTTGTTTACGCCTTTAAATTCAATAAAATGAGGCAGTTTCCATCGTTCCTGTGGGGATGATGGAATGTATTTCGGAAAAATAAAGGCGACTCCATAGTTCCCATAAAGTGCAAAAATTTGAAAGCCTCAATAAGGCGCATAACTATGAAAAATTCCTCCCTTTTAAAAAGTTTAGGAAGAAATTCTCTTCATTTGTTACGAAAGCAACTAGAAAGCACCGTATTCAATAGAATAAGGGCAGCAAACAATGGTCCTTTGAACCATATTTTAACAATCCTTAAAGATATGGGCTAGTTACAAAGTCTAGTTCTTTTTCACGTGAGAGATTTCTTTATTTGGTGGCCAAATAAGCCATAGTACAACCATAATATGTGAGAAATTAGACCCTAGATTTCCAAAATCAACGTGTTTCCATTTTCTAATCTGCGCAGCTACTAGTAATGACTGCGGGAATGTCATCGACAGTGCTTCGGCTTCACCTCTTGCTTGTCGTCTGCCTCGTTTCACAGTTATTGGATTGTGGAACGGCAACCGAAATCCGTCGAATGTCAGCGAAGCGAATGCAGCGACCAGCCTTTCTCTTTGATGCCTGGGGTAAACGCAGTGTTTCGCGAGAACCGTCGTGGAGTTTGGTGGGTGAGGATGAGGACAATTATCTTGTAGTCATCCCCAAGCGCGATTTTAAATTGGCAATGGCAAACGCAGAAGACGAAGCGGAAAATCCGTTCGGACTACGACAGTTGGCGTCCAAACGCGGCGCATACCTAGATCTGCCATGGGGTTAATTATGTCGAAGCGAACTGCATCAACCAAGAATCCTCTTAAGGCACTTATTCTGTCCATTAACTCCTTGTTAAATGCATTACATGTTCATCTTTTTTCTAACACTTTGGTGGTATAAAAACTAAAGATTGTCTGTCAAACTTACATTAAAATATTGAGTAGGGTAGAAATTTGTTTCGTGTGTCATTTTGTGTGTTAGAAGAGTCGATGTTGCCGATTCCAACCTTCGCGAGGCCCTACGTAAATGTAGTCTCCCCTCTGCATAACGCTTTAGACCTTTCAACCCCCTTTAAAAGCATGACTTGGACTTAATAAATGCTTTTAAAAGCGTACGAACCGGAGAATCTATTGCCAAGTAGGCTGATTGTGGTAAACATGCACCGATAACAAATGCAAAAGCATCAGGTTATCCGCTCTACTATGTTTGCGTTTTTCAAATCTCAGTCTTCCAAGGTACTTCTAGTCCTTGAGAGGACTAGAAAGAAGTATTCGAATTTTACATGTATGCAAAGATTAATACTGTACTATCAAACTCGTCAATTTGTAATACCCACTGAACCAACTTAAACAACTATCAGCGTATGCAGCAAAGTAGTTTAATTTTCATCAAAAGGAGGAAAAGCAAAACAAAACTATTTGAATGGCCATTGTGCATATCTAAAAGCACGCATCAAGAAGTGTTGTAGCACTAGCGCAAATGTCCAAAAGTCGTCGCCTATGCTCACGGTGATGTACAATAGAAATCGAAAAGTAATGGAGGAGTTTGAGCACATTCAACATCAAGGCCATCTACAGGCACATCTTGCCTTCAGGCCTAAAGTGGGTTGAATCCTGATATCCTTTAAGCAGTTTTGGCATCAAAAATCCATGCTGATGTAGATTGATGTGTGAAAAAATTGAAAACTGTGGATAATTTTGTGAAGCTTTAGCACCAAAATGCATCCCGATAAATTTGCCGCATTATTTAGCGTGACTTCGTAACCATCCCCCACAGGGCTAAAAGGTGTGGTAGTAAATGAAATAGGTTTCATTTTTATTCAAATGCGAATTGCGATCACTCATGCAACCATGGAGTTTTGAAAAATACTCCCAAAGAGTACCCTTTTATTTTGTGACCTTAGTAATGTTAAAAATAGGAAAGTGAGCACACACGTCTTTGGGTCGTTGTGTTCTTACGAAGACACTGATTGTTGAAAGATAAAACTGAAACATCTTACTCTACATCTAAACAACTCTTATTGAAAACTAAATTTGCAAGCATTGTGAAAGCGCTTCAGAAGTGATAGCTGTACACCTTTTTAACTTAGCCAAATTGTTAATGAAGCTTTTGTCGTCTACAAAGAATTTGATGCACCTGTCTATGCGAGATTTAAGGCACTAAATAATGCAAGCCTTAATGCCATGCAAGCTGAATGCCAGCACAGTCGAGCTCCATAAAATAGGTGATTTTAAATCCCGCTACAGACTCGCCATTCAACGAAAACTAAACTCTATAAAACTTTTGAACATTGGGAGCCATTTTGCAAAAAAATGTACAAGCCGTTCCGAACAAATGGCAAAATTGTGAGGATCCTAACATGGGACTGTGCACGTCTGACGAAGCGTTTTTTGTGTCTGAATCTAGGAGTTTAGGCGATTACACAGTTAAGTAGATTCCATACGCAATCCCGAGTCTCATTGAGCAAATAACAACCCTGTTCACTATTTGCACCTTTTTTTAATAAAATTAATGCAGTATTTCCTAGACATTAACGATGTTATGAATGCTACTTTCAAATCGTCAATAAACGTGGTTTGCAACGAATAACGACTGAATTCCAGCTGATGTTTGCAGATCTCCGCTGAATGCCCCCAATGCAGCCTCGCTGTTGGCCTATAAATACATTTAAGTACATTTGGTTAAAAATGTCATAAAATTTTGCTTATTGTGTTTCCCTTATTATTCTAATTAAGTTGGCTTCAATTATTGTCAGATAAAGCCGCTCATAACGTAACGGTTAGGTTTGAGTTGGAAATTTGTGCACTCTAAGTCTATGGGACATTTGTCTTCATAACTATCATTCCTACCTTGCAGAGCTTGATGAGTTCGTGCTGAGCAGCCGGGACATTCTCTTCCCTGCCCGACCAAATTTTTATGACCGAGGCCTGCAGCGCTCGGCCAAAGCTAAATGTGAGTGCCCACGGCTTTTTCATTGAGCACTGGTTGATTGCGTTTAGATTTTTTGTTGCGTCCACTTCTGACATCCCGCCAGAGAGAAAGGTTATTCCTTTCATGAAAGGCAGGCGTTAGTTAAGAACTTTGTTGATAAACTGGATTCCCATTAGCATACGCTTCTCACGCCAAACGTTTTGATTTGGTATAAATCCTCCTATCTCGTTAGCTCCGCTTATTGAGGACCATAAATGATTGCAAAGCGTTTACCCAACTCAAGCTTTTAGTGCTGAATTGTGCACTGTCTTACAAGCTAAAGAAAGTGGTTGTAAATTAATTAAATCGCAGTTCAAAATTATGAAGCATATAATTGTATACCTTCATATTAAGTTTGTGTAAAGACGCTTCTAGCAGGTTCTTAAACTATTTATTGCTATTACTTCTTTGAAATTACTTATAAAAATGGTTCAGCTTCTTCTTAAGTTACCATTGCACAGGATGAATGTGCAGAAAAAGATGTCAGTGTAACTATTTATGCGCTTAGTCGCTTGCCCTCACCCGGGACCGCAGGAGGAACGTGGCGCTGAAGAGTCTGCACAGTGGCAACAGCATTTTGTTCCAGAGAGAAGGTGCATGGACAGTCGTGGCCAGCAGTGACCATATTCAGTTTCAGCAGCGTACCCTCTAAGTAAACATGATGGTCTGCCAGTGCCTTATATTGGAATGCCAGTACTTCTTCGGTCACTCTCTGTGCAACGTAGAGGTCATGCTTTCCGTCTGGAAGAACTTCTGGTTCAACGATTGGAACTATTCCATTCTGTATTTATCCAAACATTTGTTGATGAGGTACAATTATATGAAAAATTTGCGTAGTTGTTTACTTAATAACATTTCTGCAAGTCCTTAACAATCGCAAGTTTAGAACAACAATGGCTATTAAGTGATATAGCCAAAGCGACATTCCATCTACAAAGGAGTCATTTTCCGTTGTTATCATTCAAAGACGCGGTCTTATAAGAAAAGTTGTTGTTGTGAATGTTTAATTGGTGCTAAGGAAAACCGCATGAGAATATGTTAAGCTGTTGATTGTTCTCACTTTTGCAATCCGAATAGTTTAAGTGCAATTTAATGACGTGAATGCTCAAAAATGATAGAGCTTGCCTGCTGACAAATGACAGCATATCTAGCTAGAACGTTAGCATTCTCAAGCATAGCGAGGCAACTGGGGGTGTGTTCTGTGATCTTCAAAGCACACCTCCACTTGGCAAAATGGCATCCCCTTCGTTTGTAATCCGCACATCTCTCTGCCAAGTCGTCCAGACCTTGCGTGGTATTCTCGCCCCTAGTTCCAGCCAGTGGCTTGATTCCCTTGTCCACTTTGATTCCCGGGATTATGGAACGTTCCTAACGAAAAAAAAACAAACGTTTGTTTCCACAATTTCAACTTGCCTCTAGGAGTGACAATAAGGGCTTTCCATCTTCCTTTTTTTGAAAGACTGTGTCGTGGAACAAAATCACCCCAGATATGTACTTTGAGATGCTCTTATCTGCTGAAAACAATAATTCGCAATATCTGCGACGATTTTCTTCTGTGTTAGCGATATGTTCCGAGTCCAACCTTTTTCCGATAGTGGCTATTAATAACACTAACTGCAAGGCAATATTCACTTACACACACTTTCATCAGCTGCAAGAATGCCCTTTCCAGGCGCAACGATGGCATTGGCAATGTCTCTAAGTTCGGAGAGTTTTGTCTCTGGAAGGTACTCAGCAAATCGCAGGTAGGTCGCGGTCCCAGTCCCACCACTGACACCGCCATCACCACTCGTCTCCATTTTGGCCTCTATTGATTGAAGTCTTTTCAAAAGCAGCTCAAAGCATTCGGTCAGCTGTTTTCATCTCATTGCAATGCCTGATTGCAACTTGGCAATATCCTCCGCTACTCTAAATTATTTTTCTTTCGGTAGATCTTTATTGTAGTTGCAGTTATTTAAGAAGGCTGTTCTTTAATTATTAAACCCACACAATGCGTTGGCTAGGTAACAGCTACTACAAAGCTTCAAAACTATCATTAAATGACGATGCATTCATGGGTAAAATAAAATTACTTCAAAGATAGTGGACGTCATGAAATTTTTAATCTTTGCCGTTTGTACTCTTTCTGTTGAGTGGGATTGAATATTTTAGGAGGAATATGACTCAAGCCTTACGCTTAAGCACACCGAGCTGTGGAGGCAACTAACAGTACAGTAAACTGAATCAATTTTTGCGAATGCTGTTAGCGTTCCCCTGTGTCAATGTAATCCTGTAGACTTTCAATAAGCAAACTGAATACCGGTTCATTCTCATATTTATTAAACGGTCATAAATCACAGTATCTTGTTAGCTTTGAGAGAACAACGTGAGACATTGTCTCTTCCTTGCTTGGGCAATAAAATTTCGATTCGATTCGCTCCTTCTAGAGACGAGCTTCAAGTGACACCTGTACGGAGCATCAAATGATGCAGTCTTGAGGCGACATATTAACATCAGATAATTTGCAGCCTTAAGCAACCTTGTAAGTATTTCTATGCCTACATCGCGGATACCTCCAGGTAAACATCACAAAAGACTATGTTGGTGAGCTTTCATTACCTCTCTCAAACCGCTAACTTATTCATGAGGTTTACAGAATGTTAGCTGTTAAACAATGTGAAGTGTTAAGATTTTAATAATTCATTTACTATGATGGACGGATTAGGAGCTCTATGACAGTTGCAAACTCTACGAAAGCCTCAAGAAGGAGGCATAAATTTGTCCCTCAACTGATACCTTCAGGTTATTGATCACCGCTTTGGAAAAGTGCGTATTAATCTCCAGGAGTATGAAATTACTTGTTAAATAAAAGCAAAGGCTAAAATTGACGTCTTTGGGAGATACGATTGGCAGCTTATTTGTTCCAACTTTACCGAAATTATAGTCGCATTTCCGAATAAGTTACATGCTTGAATGGACTGAAGACCGATGCCATCAAATTACTTAGTCTTTTGTACCAAAAAATGTAGTTTAATGTACAGATAGAACCTATTAATAACTATAGCGGGGTGGGTATGAATATCGAGAAATCTTTGTCAGTGATGAGCATCTGCAAGAGTCTGTACCAGATTTGTTTTTGAGAAGAGCGCAAAGAGCAGAAGAAATGTAGGTTAATAGGAATACATTACGATAGTAGGTGGATAGGTAACAATCAAATACATAAAAAATAAAAATAGAGGTGCTTTACATGTGTCCATCCACCCTAATTTAAGCTTTATAGGATTTGGACGATCAGAATTTTCTTATTGCCCCAATATGATAACTCTACTTTCTTTACATGTCAAGACTGACAACTCTTTTACAAAGCGGTAAAGGATGTTGGCATTTTTTTTCATCCTTCAGCTGTTTGAATAGTTATTAAAACACATCTAACCTGCTGACCTCTTGTGAAGGCTTCCTCAGGCTTAGCAGCTACGCTCACCCAGGAGTTTTCACTAAGTGGGTGCAGATATTTTGCTGGAAGTGCAGATCGATCCACGCCGATGGCTTAAAATGATAGACCACTGCAAGACCGAATGAGACCACTCTGTTTCTGTTACATCTCGATGCAATGCGTCTACCCAACCTCTGCAAACTTGCAAGAGGCGTTCGACAGGTGCACATCCAACCATCCCCAAGCCGCCTCGGTACATCCAACCACCACGTCATAATCCACCGACGCAAACTGAAGGATGGCACCAGAGCATGATGGATTTGCGTACTCATTGGAGCACGGTGTCAAAGTCGTAGAAGATAGCCTCTCACCAGTTCGGATACTCAGCACTTAGCGAAGGTGCAGCGTGTCACAGCAAAACTACCGACTGGAGCAAGATCGCTTGGCATTAGTGTGGAAGGTGTGGCAGTCTCGAGGCAATTAGCCCCTATGGTGGTGAATGGTTTTGTTGTTGTTGAAAATGGCGCGCAAGGTCAACATATGAGAAGGTGTCGGTAATGCTTGTAGGCATGTAGGCGCGAAAAATTGTGCAATTCACCAGAACGGAAAGCCCGTGTAGTAGCGGATGGAATGTGATTTCAAAGTACGCCACTTTACCATTTTTCGCTTCTCTGCGCCATGTTATATGATTCATTCCGCTGCAGATATTTGATGACTTGACAAATAATAGACTAAAAATACAAACTGCTTCCAAGAAGTAGGTTCATTTTTATAGCTGTTTAAAGAGCCATTTGCCCAAAGAGAGACTAATTTGTACATATGGTACGCTGTGGATGGAAATGCCCGGCATAAATTGATAGTATGACAAGAGCCTGATAGTAGCACAATGCTTTTCCCACTTTAGCACAAATCGGTGGAACATTAGGATGGTTCGGAAATTTCTTTGTGGGAACAGTCATAAGGAGTTAATTATGTGAAAAGAGATTTCATTCTTTCAAGGCAACACGAGATCCAATGTCTTGCATCGAACTTGCTGCCTCGGTAGGAAATAAAAAGATGGGGAGGAAAAGAGGTACCTTTTCCTCCATTCTCTTTACGCATTTTATTGTCTCCAGGTCCACCTACACGTAATTGAATTTTTTTCTTGGCACCCGGCAGTCGTATGTTAAATTGGGCAGAACGTTACAAAGCAAAATGAAGCCACGGTAGCAGTGGGTAGCCATTCACTTCCGGCAATAAAATGCCTTATAAACACGAAACTAGATGCAACCCGTCTACTCATTGGAGAGCGAACGGGAGGTTGAGATAAGGATTATCAATCAAGGTTTTAGAGTAATACTGTATTCCTATTTATTGTTTCTTAGTGCAAATGAATAACCTCACTCAGACACATGCTACTTAACTGTGTGATTTCAGCGTTCAATTATTGGACTTCTCTTGTCCAACTGACGCTTTCACTTTTGTCTCTTATCATCCGATTCCAAGTGAGGGCATCCGCATCGGGCTGTGTCAGCTGCTTCCATAGGAGTTCCAGAATTATCAGCCTTTGTCAAATACAATTAAATCTAACGAGCCAAAGTTGCGTGCAATTTTGTGTTGACTTTACAACATCAAATTTGAATATCAAAGAATCCTTATTAAATGGGTTAAAAGCAGTCCGATTTGTGTGTAGATCCAATCTTAAAACTCACCCCCATAATTTTTGTGTGTAGGTCGATTTTATCATTCTTCTTTGACTAGCTTCTCCATGTGTTTACTTAAGCTACCTCGTGCATTTAAAAATTAAGAAAATGGAACTGTGTTGTTGTTTATTGTTTTGTGATTGTTGAGCCGCACAGGAAAGGCATGGGCTTCAAAGTCAGCATGCTGCGCTCATTAAAAAGATTTGCTAGCAGGAAGTGTAATGGAAGTCCATTTGATGATGTGCTTACCCCATCGTACAGGCAATCGCATGCACTTCATCAGCACACAATTAGGCTAACTGTTGCCTCCTTTAACAATGCTTCGTCTCGCTTTTTACTAACACGTATTGAGTAGATTGATAAAGTGTTTCCTTTTGTTTGCCTCTCCTTGTTTAGCCTATCCCACGTCAAATTATTCTTTCAAAACAATTAGTCACATACCTAAAATGAATTACAAAACTTTAACGCCAGTCTTAGACATCGTAGTCACCACTTCTAGATAAAGTGTATAAAATCACGCGGTATAAATATTACCCTAAACTAATGTGAACTTAATTTGCGTGCTTTCATTAGTGTTAATAAAACGCAGTGTGGGGATGCACTTTCCCCTTAATTAATCTATGTGGTCCGCTAGGGTCAACAATGCTCGCATTCGTTGTCTTGGCAAAAATAATAATAATAATAATAACAATAGATCTTGAGCTTACTAGCATATGTTATGCATCAATAACCAAAATTAGCGAAAATCTAACGAAAATGAAACTCACAGTCTCAGGAAAAGCTGGCGGTTTTAGTGGATATGCCACCTTAAACAAGACGAGTAGCGCTGCCACAAATAATGTGGCAGCGCTACCAACTTCAAGGCTGTAATAACTTTGAGAGTCTAAGGCTGCGGATACCTCAGATGAATTGTCGGTAGCGTCGTAGGAAGAATCTTTAACCTTATTACAGTTGGCAAAACCTTCTTCTCCGGAAGATTCAAATACGTTAAAGTCTTATAAAAGTAGAAGTGTAAACAATTTGCTTAAAAAGGGATTCAAACGACTAGAATAAAATTGGTGGCCTCCAAAAGCTAGTGGTTTTGAAGTAATCACAACAGAATGTCAAGGCATGATAATGACCTTTGTAAAGTCTTAAATTTGCTCATAAGTACTGAATTTTCTTTGTCCAGATATAACAACCCCTCCCACCTATGTGCTAAATTAAATTTGCTCTCAAATTTATGGACATCCCATTGTGCTCTCGCCAGGGCCAAATCTAACGTCTGTTCGTTTCCTGCCAGTGCGACAAATTATCGCACAGCGCAGCCGCACATTTGGTATGGCTTTACCTCACATTTTATTATACCATTTCCAGAAAATTTCTTAGTCGTTAGGTGAAGCGAAAAACTCTACGACCCGTAGAAATTAGGACTTTTTTGTACATTAACTCTTGGTATGGACTTTTACTGTTATGCGAACGCTAGGAAAGCCCACTAGTGATGAAGGAAATCGTAATCAACGACCAAAATCAAGCAGATGGAGGGCCATGAATGCTAGTTAATCTGACTAAAAACCCCGACTTTAAGCATTCGTCGTTGGGCGCTTGACAACTTTACGCTCGTAGCAGAAGTGTTTTGAACTGAAATAAAAGCCTGTTTTGTGTGCGGATAGTGAAAATCGTTGCAGCAGTGAAGGACACTGTCGAAAGTTGTATTTGAAAGTATGATTTATGAAAATGAATGGCTTGGCGATACCGCGATTTATTCTCAGTAGGCGTGATTCGCAACGAAATTCGATTGTTCACCGGCGGCTATCTCAAGCTTTCCATCAAACTTGCCCAGGCTTGCTTCACTGTTCGCCTGCAAATCAGTTATTTTCTGCGATTAGGTCATGTTCTTCACACAAGAAAACCATTTTTAAGCGTGAAATTATGGCACAGCCTAAGTATGGAACTTGCTTTAGCCAGCTTGAGCAGTTCACACTGAGCAGCCAGGGTGTTATCCGAGTTGCCTTGCCACGTCTGAATGACGGAAGCCTGTAGAGCACGACCGAAACTAAAAGATAGTGCCCATGGCTTTTTCATTTTTGCCTTATTAATGGCATCCAGGTTCAACGTTGCGTCAAGCTCAGACATTCCACCTGAGAGGAAAACCACTCCAGGAACAGCAGGGGGGACGGTGCGTTGAAGAGTCTGGATTGTGGCCACAGCATTTTGCTCTTTTGTGTACTTCTGACTGCAACTTTGACCAGCAGTTACCATGTTGGGCTTGAGAAGCGTTCCTTCCAGATAGACGTGGTGGTCGGCTAGAGCCTTGTACACGAATGAAAGCACCTCTTCAGACACTCTTTGCCCGACAAAAAGGTCATGGTTTCCGTCTGGAAGCACTTCTGGTTCAACAATGGGGACAATACCATTCTACAAATAGTCATAACAAACTCTAACCACCTACTTGCTGGCAGATTACAGCATATCGAGCCAGCACATTGGCATTCTCCATCATAGCTTGATAGGAAGGAGTGTGCTCCTGAATTTTCAAAACGCATCTCCATTTAGCAAAGTGGCAACCATCTCGTTTATACTGCGCACAGCGTTCGCTTAAACCATCCAAACCCTGGGTAGTTCCCTCACCATGAGTTCCAGCCAACGGAACTACGCCTTTGTCAACCTTAATCCCAGGGATAATTCCACGGTCCTGCAAGAGACCGATAAGAGGTGTTCCATCGTCCGTCTTCTGGTAAACCGTGTCGTGAAAGAGGATGACTCCTGATATGTACTTGGCCAAGCAAGGGTCAGAACTGAACAGAAGTTGTCGGTAGTTACGGCGATTTTCCTCAGTGTTCTCAAGATTAATAGATTTAAAGCGTTTACCGATGGTAGCAACGCTCTCATCTGCAGCTAGAATGCCCTTTCCAGGACTAACAATTGCGTTTGCTATATCACGCAATTCCTTCAACTTTGCTTCGGGCAGGTATTCCACAAACCGTCCCGCCATTAACACACGCGTAGACACCTCCTTTGAAAAATGTCACCGAAGTTGGAGTTCGAACAGGGAGCATTGCATGCACGCTTATCGATTCATTGGGACAGTGAAGCACGTGATTTGTGGCCAATGGTTTTCGTTGAAAACGATGAGTATGTTTTCTGTGCCTATTTCAGCTCAGCCTGAACACGAGGAAGTAGAACGACTTTAAAATTCCATCTGAGTTGTTGAACAATGTTCTTCTTGAAAAAGCGGTTTATTATAGCTTGCCATCCTTAATGAACGTCTGGAAAGTGGCATGTTTTTTAAGTAACAACGGATTCAGCTGGCGTAAACAAATTTTGGGGGAGTACAACTTGATTGGCGAGGATCTGCAAAAAGGAGAACATTAAGTCTCATGCGAATCTCTACATGTACGCCTCAGTGTACATATGACTTTTAGCTTTACATCACGAGCATATTTGCTATGACCATATTTACGACCTTTAATATTTCGAGTTTCATTTCAGACAAATGATTTGGTTGCCTAAGGGATTGTAGGCATTGTACATCATGGCGAATGAAGCAAAGTAAGACGTAAATCTGATAACGCAATGAGTTCATGGGGAAATAATTGAGGCGCTAAAAGTACCTGAATGCTAGTGAAAGCCATCTCTCGGAATCAAAAAAATGGAAGGAAGGGTAAATCATGAACGTACTATACGAGTTTTGGTAATTAGCTATAAAATGCGTACACTATAGCGTGCAATAAAGTGGGTGTGCGGTGATATCGAGTCCCACTGAACCTAGCCATATTTTCTGTGCTTTAACAACTTGAGGCAGTGCATCCTGAATCCAATGAAGGTAAGGTTACCATGACCGAAACTGATGAAAAGGTATACATGTGTTCACAACGACTTCGTAATGTGATGCCTATTTAGATCACATAGCGCAATGTGATACTCGAGGTGTCTATCTAAGACTCAGTTTCTGTAAAAGGTTACCTGGCATCCTGATGAGTGTGTCTGGGTCAAGTATGTCAAATGTGCACAACTTGCCTAGTTGTTCGGTCTTCCAAGCGAGTATCAAGATATTAAATTAAGGCAGAGTAGACGATATCCAGCTTCCTGAACCCAATGGTCATTATTTTCAGCACCTGGTCTACGATGCGGTATTTATCATTCTCGAAACTGGAAGCCAAGACGAGTGGATCATGACCAAGAACCGTTTTAAAGATGAAATTGTGATCTTTATGACTCTAACAAGAGAGTACACCACACGCTTAATCCACGAATACGGCCCAAAACTAACATCTTTTTAGAAGTCGAGATGACCTGATGATCTATTTAATGGTTCTGAAGGAATGTACTTGAACATAATGTAATTGCAACTTGTTGGTATACTTAGTTGTGCTAAGTAGTACAACTAATCTCGACGTTGAAAAATGGAGGGTGAATTTAGGAGCTTAATGGTTCAGAACTTCAATTTGTGTGAACTTTGAGGATTGCAGGTCTAGTTTTAAAAAGAAATAGTTCGAGTCCTCCCAACTGAGCGCTTCGTGAACCGCAAACGAATTGTCATTGGGTTCGTGCGACACGAGGAATGCTTTGATGGTGTTCTTATTCAAACCACTTCTTATATATGCTTATTAACCACTCCATCTACAAAATTTTTAGAAGATCAAATTTATCCTACCGCCTTCAAAGTACAATCACCCATCCAACACTAAATTAACTCAACCAATAGTGAAGCGACAAAACTTGTAAAATTTTTTACTTTCAGCCTGCAAGTAGCGTAAATTTCTCAAAAAATGGACGTCACAGAGAGTTTAAGGATACAAATGCCTACTTGCTGGAACTGTACCGTAGATAAGTGACCATTAAGTCAAGTACAAAATCAAAAATTTAGCTGTTATTGACTGAGGTCATGAACACTCCTTGAAGCTGTATTTGAATTTAAGACCAGGAAAGTTTGAAATAGTATGGAAGGCACCCATTCTTTTAGTCAGAAGTGAAATAGCTAATCAGGCTAAAAATGCGCATATTAATACCCCTTTTGCAACTTTAATAACACTCAGACATAATAATCCGCTAAAACAAAAAGTTGTGCACTGCTAAATGAAACGTAACAAAGCAGTTACCCTCGCTGTTGTTGCTAGACCAAATCTCATTAGCCACCTAATTTGCAAAGCAGTTGACTATATTCTTGCAAATTCGACGAAGGAATTCCCACGCGGGCAACACCATGCTTGAGTTCGCCTTTCCCAGCAACAATTATAACAGTTGGGACAATCGGTTCTGAGCTAACGTTGATGACCCCGTTCCATGAGCCGATATATAAGATCCTGTCGTCTGCCTGCCCTATTACACAAGTTATGAACCGCAATGAAGTTGGAAATACCAACAGTGCGAAGAATAAACGCACCACGGAGAATCTATTGAAGTTTCAATGCTTCGCATACCTCGATGCCAAAGCTATAGTTATCGATCTTGTGGATGAGAAGAGGGGAATACGCAACCCCTCACAACGAGAGTTTATCAGGAGCCCCACCCTTTGCTCACTGTGATGACGCTCAACAGCACATCACGCGCAGATCTCTCCGCTCTTGGTGACCTGAGAAACTAAAAAGGACGTCCTTCAGGCTTGTTCATTTCCTTTCTGTGATAGGTTCTTTGCCACCCAGACCTACATAAAAACTTTCAGATTTCCCAAGACTAGTTGAAGATTACATAGAAGGCAGTACTCTAAAAGGCAATTACGGCTCTGGGCAGCAAGTGTTGTCTGAACAAAATAAGGGAAGATATGTAAGTGAGAACAAGTAGTAGTGGTAGATAACTGATCAAGGAATGTCTTGTTAGGGTTGTATACACAGACACGCATGCACACAATCGGAAGACAAAACAGCAGAGATAGAAAAGATATAGAGAATGGGGCTGCAGCAATGGTAAGTAACATACAGAAAGACACTCAAACCGGTTTAATTCACTGGAAGGAGAGGCGGCCTAGGGGTAGTCGTTGGGTGGAGGCAGCACAATTGGCTCCGAGGATATAGGTTGTTCGGGTGCCCTATCTCCTTTGTCGCTCGCATTTTGGTATGCCTCTTCGTCTGATTCCTGGCATAAAGCAGGAAGAAGGAAATTACGAAAAAGCACATCGTGATACTTCAAGACGAAGTAATGTGCGCAAACGTCGAATGCTCTCCAACTTAAAATTCGACTAAATTAGTGACCTATGTGGAACACTACCGTAATTTTAGGGTCACGGGTAAATTTGCAAAAATAATGTTGGAGTACAAAAAATAACATGTTTCTCTAATAAACTCAAAAAAACTTGATTCCGGTGAATAAACTTCCCTACAAGGCTAAACGCACTTTTAGCAGGCATATGAAGAGCTATGAAACTTGTTTTCTGCCAATGATGTTTGTTAGTGACTTTAATACTTCTAGACACCCACTTGAGCCAATTATACCAGGATCACCATTGCATAGCCTCTGACCACTTTGCAAGACTGCAGTTCCTGTTATCGATGGTTCATTAAACCGATAACTGTTGATACAAACAGCCAAAAAAAAACATCAGAATTCACTTTGCATTCCGCGACAGAATATAGCATCCAACTCCTCATATTGTTTGCTATCAAGAAAGTTGGTGCTTTCTAGGATAAATGTCCCTACCACCTATTATGTTTAGATCAACACAATTCTATTCGATAACCAGTTTTATGAAAGCTCACCCGAAAAATCCTTTAATACAAAACGACGCCCCCAAATCCCATAAACTTAATAATGTAACGATCCTAAAAATATGATGATGCAATCATTGTCGTACAGCAAAGGATAATACGCAGGAAATCTATAAGCCAAAGTAATGACATTTCTTAATACGGAAGTGTTTTAATCAGAATGGAATTTAATTCGATGCATGAAAATGTCGAATCTGTAAGGAAATTATCAATTTACTTCAAACAGAGATGACGCAACACCAAAAAAGTAATCTTCGAAAAACAACCCCATTTTTCAAAAGACGCAGAATTCAAGTCCATAAGCTGTACTGTCTAAAGCAGCACAGCTCTATTCAAAAAACAACAGCATGTGCCTTTGAAGCACTGGAAGTGAAGTTCAACTGTTACATTCTCAGACGATATCAATGATATTAAACATTAGGCTAAAAACGTTACCATAAACAATGGAGCCTTCACTATGGAAACCAACAGTGGTCTATCGCATAACCACTACTGGTGCAATCGAACAGAATCTTGCACTACACTACAAGCCCAGTCACTTCAGAGATAAATGACTGACCCGCATTCGGTTGACGCAACAAAAAAGCTTGACGAATGCAAGTCAGTGGAATATTCTTTGAGAATTGATGGCGGTGTGTGTGGACTAAATAAATCTACTGAAATACGCTACATGGGAATAAAAAGTGTGCAACTCGATGTCTCGAAGGCAAGAAAGGCAAAATGCTAACACTCGAAAACGCTATCAACAAACGGAATCGGCTACAAAGAGTCGACAACAAAGATAGGGAGCTCTCCCAGGGAAAAAATGCGCACCAATGCAAGCCGATAAGTTAGTGAAACTTAATATGCAATGATCGGAGTGGTCTCATAAAAGTGACTGCGCACTCCCACTTCGCATAGTGATGAACCATAGGGTTACGAGACTGATGTGAAGTGTGAGTGTTTCATCATCGCTTTAATTGTTGGTTACAACCACTCAAGAGTAACCTGCAGCATAATTGCCGATCGAAGGAGAACTTTTTAAGAATGATTATTGAGCCAATCAACTAGCATGAAATTGTTAAATAAAGAGGCATTAAGTGAATGTGAGACCACAACTCCACTGATCCATAATTCGATGAAGCCATATGAACAGTCGTTCTGGAAAAAAATGTCAACGAAAACTCACCGGTGCCATGTCTACAAGATCCTCCTCGGGGACCTTCCTGCAACAAGAGCAGCAGAAGCAGCAACACAAACAGCAACAGCAGCCAGTGAGGAAGAAGACTGTTAAGAAGAGACACTAAAGAAACACAAGAGCTAGACACTGGTTGGTCCAGAAGTCATTTGTTTCAAAGCGATAGATAAGTAGTTACCTTTAGGCACGGATTGTTGAGCTTCAAGTATGTCATCGCCGCCTCTTCCCCAACTGTTTCACTTACATAAATACCATAGGAGCCATATTTGTCGTATATTTCTTTCTTGGTTGCATCGGTTAAGATAACATTCGCTCGGTTCAATTCAGCAAACTGAAACTAAGATATAAGAACAACTACACCACCTTTTCACCGGCTTTTGGATCATCTGGATTTTTGTCAGGATGACACCGAAGCGCCAACTAGAAGATCAGAGCATATAAAAGAAGCATACCCTTCGATATGCCCTCCTGATCTCTTCTGTAGTGGCATCCTTGGGTATCCCAAGAAGTTCATACAAAGATTCACCCTTCGTTCTAAAAAGCAAAGACATATCACACAAAACCGGCGTACGATAGTTTTCTAGGGTCACGAATGCCCGCTCGGCTTTCAGTACTTGCAACACCAGGACTTACAGGCGGTGAAACCATCACAGACGCGCACCCAACAATCTAGTCCGTATCGCGTCACTTTGATAAACACAGGTTAAAACAAATAATTAGCACACCGGATTACATATGCCTAATAATATGCTAAAAAATGCTTGACTTTTCGCTTTAATTTTTTCACAAAACTGAAAAGTGAGTAGCGAAAAATTTTGTTGCTTTTAATGAAGTGGTGAAGGCATATTAATAAAAAATGGTGTCACAAAGGAAATAAACAAAATGTCCTTGGTAAAACCTGGAAATCTTTTAAAGTGCCTAAATTACGCACCCGGACTTTAGTGTAAATATAAATTGCATCCGGTTGAGGTGAATTTATGACCCTAGTTCTTGACAAACTGGGTAATTGTATCAACATTTTTACCACAATCATGTATTTTCGACCCGATAAATGCCATATGTCTAATAGTGCTGGTGCTACAGGTTTGTTTAGGCATGATTATAATACCTTTAGACTCAGATGCTTGTGGTTGGTATCGCCCAGGTGGCAATATTTTCTCTAAGGCATGTCCTGGCCATTGGACTGCGCAAACCTATATTATTATTAACCTAAAAACATCATTACATCAAGTATTATGCCTTTTCTCAGGCTAAAGTTTGCCTTATGGCCCCAAACTAATGGTCTCATATGACAATCCCTGTCTAAAATCCATTAATATTTTTCAGGTTTTTGTGGTAAGTTCCGACTTCCGTTCGATGTGAGGGCATTAAATGATAGTCTTCACTAATATTTGCTTTATTCTTATTTTTTGCATGCAAACTCTACAGAGTGGAATCGATGCCTGGCATGTAGCGCTTATAGAGGTTAGCAACGTGGCAATGCGCAGAATATAACGACGCAGGACGCGTTACATCCCGATTTCCACTGTGCAGTCCCATTTTTATGCTGTTGCTTAAAAATCTAGTCCCAGACAAAAACATGAACTTTGTAATTTCTTAAACTTGCAATCAAAATATACAGATCCAATTGAAGGCAAAGCATGAAAAGGAAATTTGAAGTTGTACAGCTTCCTTCATTACGTTAGAGCTAGTGGCTGGCGCGTAGAACTTTTTGTTGATTACTTTCGGCAATATTTGTAGTGTAATGTTTAATACAAGAGTTTTATCGGACAAAGAGTCAGGAATGTCTTTCGAGAGGGAAAAGACTAAGTAATGCTTTGTTTCTTTGACTGCGGATGTCAGTTACTCAAGCAATCATTATTGCTTCCGCTGTGTAGGTTGACCTTTAGGGCATGTCAAAAGTTCATCAATCTTATCTATCGTCCGATTATATGTGTTCAACTTAAGCACTATATTTTCCTATTCCTGCAGATAAATCTTGATACGATACAGCACTAGGGAAGTAAAGGTAAGAGCTCTGTACCAAAAAAACAATGACAGAACAAATCTACTGAAAAATTTGTATCGTCCCGAGACCACACACAAGGTAAAAGAAGGCAGTAAGTGAGACTGGATACGTGCGTTTTGAAGAGTATAGACCAAATGGGTCTGAACATTGCCCGAAGGTTAGCCCACGATTACAAGGGCCAGAAAAATCCTTAAGCGATCGCCGAACGTCAGGCAGTCACATAAGCAAAGCATTACACAATTTTTAAGCATTTTTAAGGGCATACATGGGATATGATGGATGGTTAAACAACCTGTGTTTTGATCTGAAGACAACCCAAAAAACTGATGACAATGCAATCGCCTTACTGCCGCAAACAAAAGTCGCATGGGGACGAGATTAAAAGTCATTCTCATATCTTATCGCCCCTTCATCCCTGTATTACTTTTGCAAAGTCCTGATGCAATTTTTCGTTTATGTGACCATCTAATATCTGACGCTTATTTTGGTATTCGTTTGGTTTTCAGTCCAACCTAAGGCTTAATCCATTCTTCTCCCCCTAGAATACATGCCTTCAGCTCATATTAATGCCTTCTTAAACCTAATGAGAAGTCTTGAGGAGCTACACTAGTTACAGCGGATAGCAAAACTGACCTTTTAAAATCCTCTATCCTAGAATTTTATCGTTGGTGACACATGTCTACGGTGCAGAACAAGTGCATATACTTTTGGTGGGAAAGTATCTAATTTTTCCGCAATGGAAGGGCTGAGAACGATGTCTGCGTTTGGATTTACCTTGTCTCCGTGTTTCACAGACAAACTATTAACAACTAAGGCGACACCGCTGTAAACTACTTGAGTAAATTTTGTGTCGAATTCATCCAATAAGTCCAAAAATTACTGTCAGTAATGGCACTAATCCGTATCCTCGTACGGGTCTGTTTCAGACCAATGTTCCAACGTCTAGTATTAGATGCATTTGCTGGTCATCAGGTATATGCAGCCGCGACTATCGATATCAGACCGGTCATGACCACAGATCTAGTTAAAGTTACTGAGAAGTCTGAGTGTACGCTCCTCAATTTTTTCGTGGCTGATGAATGGCGTGGCTGGATCATGGGTGTTTTCTCGCGATATCGAGTATATTGTGGTGGCTAGTGCAGGAGGTGTATCAAGGATCCCCGAGAAATTTGTTCTAGAGAGAGGAGGAGCAGCGCAATATTTGGTTATATGACACTTGATGTATGGCAGTGATTTTGGTGCTCTTCTTACCCATGTACTCGCGAGATGGAGTTCCGACCAAGTCCATCTTTTTCTCCTGGAATACATGTACCCAGCCCATCTTAGTGGCATTTTCTTGGGACCTTGTAAATAAGACTGAAGTAGGCGCATTTATGGAGATCTAAACTTGAAACTACAAAATTTGAAAGTTAACCTAACAGTGCGTCTAGGGTGTTGGTACATTCGGGCGTATATTTCTTTGATACGCGTGTCTATAATGCAGCACCACTGATTTTCAAATGTAACTGTAGCGTCCCGAGACTTCCCACAGGGTAGAAGAAAGCCGAAAAAGGAGCTGAATAGATGTATTCCAGGGTAAACAAATGGACTAAGCCTGAGCTTAATCCGGAGGTCAGTCAGCGTGTACAATGGCCAGACGACTCCTAAGGCAACCAACAGACGTCATGGGGTCGCGTGAACAAGGTAATACAGTAATCTCTAAAAAGGTCTTTTAATTATACAATGCTAACGTAGTTTAATATTTAATATTTCAATTACCTACCACTCGTCAGAAAACTTATACTGTTGCACATTAGTTTGTCGTTCTTTATACTTTGCATCGCAGCAAAGCTGAATTTAATGTGTTATTGTGCATTAAATTATTTGCGGTGTCATTGGCGTTTAGAAAACCGTAATCTATCTGCCTTCATACAGTTTTGTAACCGGCTGGTGGGTTAACTTCTGATCTTAATGCCCTTTAAAGTGTCTTGTGCTTTATACTGCGTCAAAATGTCTACAGAACTTACAGCTCTTTGTTAACGCTCCTGAGTGTGTAGGCATTTCGCATTAATCTTGTTGGACAGCGTGGTTCTGAATTTTCCGCCCTTAGCTGAGTAGATTTTTACTCAGATCAGTCTCGTCGATGCCTGTTGTTTACAGTGGTTCATTAATTTAGCTCTTCTAACCCTCTCGTAGTCTCTTCTCTGTTGTAGATGTCTACACTTGAGGAACAGGAAAGTGAAATAGAAGTACTGCGATCCATCTATGAGGCCAACTTCCGTGTGCTTTCTTCCAAGCCTCCTCATCATTTTGAAATCGACCTCCGCGGACATGCAGCCGACAGTCCTGACACAGCAGTTTCATGTACTCTCTACTTTAGATACTCTCCCAATTATCCCACAGAAGCCCCTCTCTTCGAGATTCGCAACCACAAGGGCCTCTCTGACGAGCAGAATATGGATCTAGTAGTGCTTGTTTCTGACACCATCAAGCGCTCCATTGGAATGGTAATGATATTCGACATTGTGTCCAATGTGCAGCAAAAGCTGGATGAGTTCACTGATCTGTTGATCGCTGAGGTGAAGGCGCGTAAGGAGAAGCAGACGAAAATCAGATCTCTTGCTGACGCAGAGAGGGAACAAGAAGTAGAAAAGCGTCTTGCTTCTGGAACTCATGTTACAATTGAGTCATTTAACGTCTGGAATAAAGCTTTCCTAGCAGAGCTGGCGAAGGCCAAGGAGACGGAAGAAGCCAAGGCTAAGAAGCTGGGTGTCTGTGGTGGAGGTGGGCAGAATATAGAACTTACAAAGCGGATCACGGGTCGTGAGATGTTTCTTCGTGACAATCAGTTTGATGAATCAGATTTGACCTTCCTGGCTCAGGAGGGTGGTGAAATCGTGGAAGTGGACGAGAAGCTGTTTACAGAAATAGGTGACATCGATATATCCGATGTCGAAGAGTCTTGATGATGGTGAATCCACGGCTTGGTCATTACTGTACAATACTCTGCCGTAGTGTCCCTCAAATGCAATATTTCTTGTGGTTAGACATTGTTTATTGTGTTTGCGGCAGCGTTAAGACTCAATTATCTAAAGCTAGGTTACTTTTGTATTCAGGTGTTAGTTTTAATGGATTTCATTTCTCCGTTTCCATCAATGGACTCGCTTGGGACAGGTAAATGGGATTGTTCATAGTTTGCTTTAATCTCTCTTGGGTCGTGAGGCTCTCTCTGCTTCAACTTTAGCTTCACATCCTCCCGCATCTCTTTCCAATAAAAGATGCAATAGGCCCTACTATTGTTGAAGGGGTTGATCTTGCTGCTCATGCATGTACGTGACGGGACGACTGGAACTTCTCCATCTACCACGAACATGGGTTCTACTCCATCGGTTACTAGCAGTCGACCCGTGTTCTTATTAGCTTGCACACTTTGATAGAATCATAAATGGGAATCCTAATCGGCGAACTGGATGATCCCGAGCGGCCTAACACGACCTCGACACACCGAGTCGTGGCTATGTAACCCTCGTGAAGTCATATTCCTCTTGAGCATCGAGCGTCATGGCTGACTCGTGTTCTTTCCATTGTCACCGGTTTAAATAGGTATGTGAATCCTACTTGAGATTAGGATGAATCTGTGCAATATCGGGGACTAGCTGATACTTTCGAGTTGGGATTTAGCAAGTGTTAAGGTTTCTTAACCTTTTTATATTGAGCAAACCATTTTTTTCCCGACTTATGACAATCAGAAGGTCATTTTTAGGTAAATATACTTGGGAGTAACCCACACATGAACCTCTACACATACATTTCACTGAGTTAATGCGGCAGTTATTTATTTTAAGTTACTAGCTTCGCATTCTCACTGTCAAATGAGAATTCCGTCAGATCTAGGGAATCTGGTGGAAGTAAAGATCTACCATTGAATCCCATCGATTTGCCTCAAGATCCATTCAAACGTGGTACAAGGCGCCGCAACTGCCTGGCTAACACCGCAGCCTCACATTCCATCACTAAAGATGCAGAAAAGGAGGACAGCTGGTTGTCAGGGCGATTATTTGCGTCCACAAAAGGCTCAAAACCGAGGTCCATCCATTCCTCAGCTTACCGAGTGGTCTATACGCAATGGTTTCCTCCTCCCACCAGACAAAGTGCCGAATGAAAGAGCTTGCCAATCCAATTGCAAGCAAGCGGAGTTGTTACTACGTCGATTCAGTCGGCCCAAGCAGTGTACGAAGGATTTCAGGGAGAGGACCAGTAAGTGCACCACCAACGCCTTCTTGATGCTCAAGTCGTTAAGCTACACGTGCCCTAAAACAGCGCCTATTTTCCTTGAAAGGTACGACCAAGATTAGAACCACTTAATTTTAGAAAGGAGAGTCTGCGTCGATTTCTGCAGATCCTGACAGTCTTGTTTTCTATTTAATGGCCAATATTTGCACACTTTAATTAATACATTGTCCGATTTTTGGGTTAATTTCTTGGAATTTTGGGGATGACTTGCTCTATGTGTCTACAGATTATGCGGAACAGGACAATAAGTAGACAGTGGCTAGACTTTGTTTCACCCTCAGATAACTGCCTTGAGGATGGGCAAATAGTCCAGCTTTATACATACTTTTCATCTACTGATTCGGAGAACCAATAACAAGTCCGTCGCCAAAAACTATCTAGTCTAGTATAATTTTTCAAAAATTCCGGTCTCATTGCTGTTGTTCAAAGAGTTATTCAGCACCCGTGAACCCGCGCGATGGACTGGAGTTGACAGTACATCCTGAAACTGTCGCAGTAGTCTGATATAGTTACCTATCCGTCAAACCAACTGAGCCATCTCGCACCATTGTCTTGATTATTTACAACGCTTCAAGACCTTTATAATCATTCACATCAGATTCACAATCACATTTTATGGCATCCTAAGCTCGATTTGTGGTCCCGAGACGTTACAGATCGATTTCCAAAAGCGAAATTTGGTGCATCTGGATTCCCAAAAAATTGGTTGCCAAAGAGCACCATTACAAACCGTTTAATGGTATCCAGGAGACCCACAGTGACCCAGTCAATCAACGCTGGCACCAAAATTCCCGTAAATACGGCAGTCTCTAGTAGGAGCCAACCCCAATGCCAATTCTTGGCAAGAGCGGGGAACAAAACAGTAGGGCGTGGGAGAAAATAAGAACCCAGCTGCAACCTAAACAAGTCATGATAGTGATGATTCCGCGAACAGGGAAAAACAAGAAAATTCGTTCGCAAGTAGCCAACACGACTTACAGCAGATGCGAATGAGAATGTTTGTGTACGTGAGTAATTAAGTTATTAAGACACCAATAATCGCAGATAAGGGGAAGGGGTTAGTGTTTGCAAGCCCAAGAAGAAAGGGGAAAAGTAAACATTTTAGAAAAGAGAGGGATAGTGTGGAGGCTGCCATAGCAGAGCGTATGGGGAGATCCTGTTGCTAGGACTAACCATTGCTGATGTCACTGATACCTCAAAAGTAGAGAGTCATCACCTGATCCCGACTCGTGTCTTTTGGACAGTAGGGACACTTGATTTTCCTAAAAAACCACGGTATCCCTTCTATTTTGGCGTAAACTACTATTCAGTTAAGTTACACATATGACTCCGATTAAAAATGGACTTAAGGAGAAGGCTTTGGTAAATTACTGTTAGGCTAGATTGAATTTCAGCAAAGCGTGGCACCCAAACCGAAACAAATATGCACATCACCTAAAACGATGAGGTTTAACAGTACGAAACGGCGATACTTGAATTCACAAAAACAAATTCAGTAGACGAAAGAAGCAAATCACCATTTACTCAAAGAGGGTGACCTCCTCCACATAAAAAAGTGATTTGCGTAAAAGAATGCATATGACCACACATGCTCTTCACCAGTGGATCCAAAACTTTCAAGATGAACGTAACAGGTGCCAGAAATTGTTAAAATCATCAGTGTTAGCAAGACGCAATGACGGATAGGGCATTTCGAAAAAACAGCTTAAGCACTTTAACACACTTCGACTACAAATGAAGATAAATAGTACCGTAGAACGATATGGGCAAATAATTGCTTCATTGCAGGTGACAACCTCATGGAAAGAAGCTAAAATAACTTCCCCCTGCCTCCGGATCAACACCAATGCGGTTAGCATCATGCTAACAAAAAGATGCTTGTTGAAGTCCCAATTACGTTGAAGATGAATTAGACTAGTATGTGCATCAGAGCCGCCAAAAGCGGGGAAGGAGAAGGAAGGCATGTTTTGAGTTGTTACTTTAGCAGCTGTTAAGGTAGGCCCTATAACACGGAGTAAGCTTACCTGCTCCTGAGAAGAAAAAGAAATAGAAAAGATAACCAAAACGAAGCTTAGGAAGGAGAAATAAGGAAGGGAGAGGCATAAATGGAAAGCTGACCGTCGCTCCGTGTTGGCCAGAGAGTTGAAGGCGTCTCGAGAGATGGCATGGCCACAGTTGAGCCGCACAGCCGGATTGGCCAGCGTTGAGACCTCTTTGATGACTGGACAGTGAAAGATATTATGTCTGTGAGCTACAGTGTCCAATTCCACCGAAATCTACCCGGAAAGAACAAATGAAATCAGTTGCAATAGCTAACTCAAAGAGTAACTCCGCTTTAACGGTGGACAAAGAGGCGATTATCGTTTAGGAATATCCATATCGATACAATGGCTAGAAAAGCAATGCAATGGAACGAAATTAAGGTAAAAAGCTTGCTATCGATTACACTATAGAGAGAATAGCATAAAAAAGACTACCCGTGTCCTTGGCCAATAATGATTACCCGATCATCTGCTACATCGCTGTTTACAATACTTCAATTTCAAGTCCAGAGATAGTGACAACGGTCTACTTGAAGGAAGCTGCCATTGGAATGCAAAAGCGTGAGTTATATTACTGAAACTGTAGCATTGAAGGGCAAAATGGAGAATATTCGCGCAGAGTTAGAAAAAATAATGGAGTAACAGGATAGCCAAGAAAGATTAAGGATCTGTTTGGTTCGTGCAATCACTGACGCGAAAGAAACAAGGTCAACTACTATTCGAACTCTTAGGCAACTATCAAAATGATCAGGAAATTTGATGGCTAGGAGCGACAAGCAGATTAGGATGAAAAATGGAAGGACAGAGTATAACGACTTGTGGAAGTCGCTGCAATATTATCAAAAGCGAAATATGTCCCCAAAAATCAATGTGAAATCGTAACCTTATTCTTATTTGCGACAAAAAATTCATTGCGTAGGGGATTTGGAAGTAGAAGCTCCTCTATTCCTGTTAAAAGACAAACTGATCACCTTGGTCAAAGTGATTAGACATGCAACACGATAGGACAACAATATCCACACACCCAGCAGACAGCCTGGAAAGTTTGTTACTGTTGGAAAACCACCCATTGGGAGACATCGTAGTCAGAATTCAAGTGTTGAAAGCACTGACAAAAGCAAAACAGTAGTCACAGCGAAGTCCAACGCTTCTTCGATTGTATGGAACACGATTTGTAGAAATCCTGCGAAAGCATCGGCCTCTACTCATTAAGAAACGTGGAATTTAGGAACGGAATTTGATGAGGAAAACTAATTCCCAATATCCTGATTCAGTTGTTCTAATCTATGTATCCTTACAGACAGAGAGGATAAAAACACGTTTTGAAAGCAAATGAATGGCAATTTCGAACGACCAACGTCAAATCGGCTATAAAACAGCTGATGGATTCAGACCTACCAAAATAATGGCAAGTACTGATGAAGACACCAAACAACGCGGCATGATAAAAGTAGTGAGAATGTGGCCAAAAAAGAATCTCAAAAATCATTGAATATAACATTTATGGGGGAGAAAATGAACTAAATGATATAGTGGACACAGTACTTTCACAATACTGGATGAAACGATACTTTAAAACGGCTTCCACCGTAAGGATGTTAATACCAAAGCCCGATCTAAAGGTGTCGCACTATCGGTAGTCTACACGGTCTCCTCGAGCAATTCATTCGGCAGTGATCGTCGGGAAAATCAAGCCCTTAATTCAAGTAAAGAATTATTCAGAATAAAACAGTTCGGCATGATTCAAATACAAGAGTAGTGCTTACATAGAAAAGTGAAAGAAAAGTTAACTTTAAAAAATTGCAAAGCGCGAAGTTCATTTAAACTTGAGAACAGAAAAGATCGCTTCAATGTGGTGTTTTAGTAGCAAATCGTCTCAAGAGTGATGGTCGGAATGGATTGAAGGACCAAGGATTCCAAATGAATGTCGCACTAACAGCAGGCAGGGTCCTAATTTTTCAGCTTTTGCTCTCGAGCTGACCAGTGTTGAAATGGAATTCACTTGGTAGCACCAACTTATTTTAAAATAAAATGGCATCAAGTGGCCCAAAACAGTTCTACACATTCGCTTCAAGTGCTAACAAACCTTAACTCTTATATTACAAAAATAACAGCCACTGGAATCCGTTTCTCTTTATTTTCCCATTTAATCACTTCAACTTCAACTTTATTATGAACTACTTAATGTTCTACAAACACAGATCTGATGTGCTATTTCACCACCTAAAATGGAGATGGATGTTAGGCGATGGTAGATCCTGAATTGGTTCTTTTGCTACGAAAGTTTTGCCGAACCACATACGTATAATGCTTTAATGATATTCTGAAAGCATAATAAGAAGAAGCAACTCAAGTAACGGGAATTTTGAAATATGGAATACAGAGATCCTCAAAAGCAAGCTTGATGTGAAAACCGTAATGTAAGGCGCAAACAATAAGCTTGGTAACTGGATCATAATCCACAACGAAGTTACACACATGCTTTCTAGAACTCTAGTGAAAGTCCAAAGAAGGCGAAGGCATCCATATGCAAATTATTCGCACTGATGGAAGATCACAATTCAGAGAGAAACGCCAGAGGCAGCAATTCAGACACAGTGCATGGAAGGATCCGAGGCAAAGTTGACTCACCGGAAGAGTGTGAGTACCATCGGAGTTGCCGGGTGCGTAGTTTGTAAGCCAGGCAAAGGCACGCTGGAGTTTATGCAGCTTTGGAAGTACTTGCAAACCCGAGGCAAAGGCAGTCCTCAGCGGATCGATAGAGGAGAGAGAGAGTTGCGCGCAGGCTACCGTGCCGAAGAGGTGCGCTGCACGCACAAAGGCATTTAACGGGGTCGCCACTACATCATTAGCCGTTCCGTCTCCCGCCACAGTCCGACCCAGAGACGCCTCCGCCTCCACTTTCTCCTCATTAGCGCAGAGACTCACTAACGGCAGAATGGGCAGGCAGATACCACTAGTGCTGGCGTATTGATTCCTAATGATAACATCGTCAACAGCAGATGCAGGATTAGAGTCTCTCAATGAGAGATCTGAGTAAGGTGTCCCGCTGAGATCCTGGCCCAGAAAGACGAGGCTACCCATTATGTGTTCGAAGTCTGTAAGAACAAAAGAAAAGTCGGAGCTTTTCGTAAGGGTGATAGATGACGATTTTACAAAATCCCTTTCAACTTATAATTATAGAATTGCGATTATTAAACATGCAAATGAGTGGGCGACGACGACAGCTGGATTAGGCATTCAGAGATTAGTTGAGTCCAAAAAATTGAATGACACCAAATTACCCATATCCATTTTTGCAAGCTTGAAACATTCCAAGTACGGAAAACCTTAAAGAACTTCATAAACTGCAGTGGGTGTTTCCAGGTAAACCTTCAAAAGCCCATGACACCTTAACTAAATCATAACCAAGAACAAAAATCAATTAAGATACCCAACCAGATACAGAATGCGTAGATAAATAACCACGATCGAGGAAGTACAGATCCCCATGTATTAGTGTTTGTGGTTCATGCTTCGAGACCTCAAAGAAAGTCATTGAAATCTATTTCATTTGTTTTTGGACAACTAATTTCCATTCAAATTATTCAAGGAGAGAAACAAAAGAACTGAAATGGTTTTCATAGCCGACCGCTAATTTCGTAACTTCGCAGGTAAAAATATCACTATCATAAAAATGGAGCGACTCGATAATTTCTAGTATGGTAAACCGTTTCTTTTGACGTGATCAAGCCAACTTATCAGGTGATGGTCTTCATACAAATGTAAGTCGTAACGTGAATAATCTAGAGATTGCATTAACTAACGGGCAAATGGTGATTTACTTACAAATCAGGGCTCACATTAAATCGCTTTTAACCATGTTGTTTGTAATCCCAACGATCGAAAAATGCAAACGACACATAAACTTACCTGCGGGAAACTCCGGTGCGTATGGCACAATTTTACGCAGACAAGCGATTACTCCAGCAGGATCATCTGCACACCTCTGGACATCAATTAGGAACTCCAACTTGGCTAAAACATATTCTAATTGCTTAGTTTTCGGTCCCAATGACTCCGCATTAGCTGCCAGCCATCTTGAAAACAACAGAATATGATCGTTCTCGAAATCGCGCTAAAAGACAGACCAAACATAGTTTCAAAGCTCACTCCTTAGCAGGACCCAACTCTCCGTTTTTTAAGGCAGCAACCATGGTACCAACGTCGCGGAATTGTTTAAGGCCAATGTCATCCTCCGAAAAACCAACTTCCTGTGAGAAAGGGGCACGAAAAATTGCCCTAATTTCGACTTAGAAATAGGCGCATCGATGTTCAAAATTCCACCAATCTTACCTTCGCAAGCTTAATAGCAACAGAACCATAGCCGCTGCGAATAAGCTCCTCAATTATGATAGCAGCAAATAGTTCGTCTTCGGTCATGTTGTCTGCGGTCTTATAAAGGTTGGATGCAGGAGCAGGATCAAAGGTGGTATGGTTTGCCGGAGCTTTGGAGGTGTCAGTAGCGAAATACGATGCTACATTAGAAATATCGTCGACGAATGTCTAGCAAATCAAGGATAAGAGAATAAAGACTTACCTTATCAACCGATTTTTTGAACTTTGAAATAGAAGCATGGATGTCTCGGTGCTTTTTGAGGGCATCTGAGAAGTTTGACTTGATATTTGATAACAGAGAACATATTTTGACCTTCGTCTCTGGTGAAAGGTTTGCACCTAGAAGCGGAGCAATAAGATACTTATAATAACGACACTAGTACCGAAAAAAATAACATAGACTACGAACATCGGTGTCAATTTACACCTGTAGATCGACAATTTGAATTTAGGATCGATGTCTTCGAATTAAACAGACAAAACTCAAACATCCAAAATATTGACAGTAATCGAACAACCAAGAAGAACTGCGAAAGGTAAGTAAGTAAGTGAGAATTTGGAGCGAATAAAGAAACCACACAAAATAGATTACTAATTGAACAAGTCTTTGGTGAACGAACCAGAATTTCCGCTTTGGATTTCAATAATGAGATTCGACAAAGAGTCTGAGTATTTCTCGGCTTTGAATTCATAAATACTTTTGAAGCCAGTCAGCCCTTTTTCAATTTTTTCTACCTCATTTGATAAGCCTTCCAACTTTTCCTTAATACCAGCTTCATCTCTTGAGGTCATTAAATTCAGACCGTGCGATATCGGAAAAGCTAAGTAAAACAAGAGTTTTGAGCCGTATGTGACAGCAAATCATTAAATTTGGGTAGCTTGAAATGCGGATAAATAACAGGAATCTAGCCACACAGTGTAAGTAAATTTGATTTCAGGTTTGTTTATTAGCATAGTGCTATCAGAAAATTGAAAATAGAATTTAAATTTTTGAAAATGCTAGTTGCATATCCTGCTAACATTTTACGAGTAATTGACACAGCTTTATTATGGCTGATATTTTTGTCTTCAATTTGAGGCATTATCAAGTCGATTCGCCAAAACTATTAAATTGATTTCGCATTACATGAACACACGTACTCATTTCCCTTATCACACTTGATCATCTGTGTATATCACCTTATGCATCGTTTACTTGGTCCTTGACCTCTATCTTCCGAATAGATTGATGGTTAGTAGAAAATTCACTGACCAATTTTATGTAACTAGAATCTGCAAGGGTGGTGATTGTAGCATCCCGAGACCTCCTGGCCGATACAAGAAGTTAGTAAGCGCAGTTGAATATACGTAGTCTGAGCAAGGCCCGAAGGCCAGCCCCCACGTGTACAAGGGCCAGGCAAATCTTAGAATGACCGCCAAATGTCAAATGGCCACACAAACAAAGTATTACACTTCCCCTCTCTTCTGTAGATAGGCGTCCTCGGCGCTCTCCCTTGGTACACCTCCCACGCCAGCCATCACAACATATTTGGAAACATATTTGAAAGCACTCGCGAGCCAACCGCGCCAGTCGACAGACAACACGAGACTGAGGAGCCGTACCTGGTCCCCTCAGCAGCTTCAACTGGACTTTCGGTCTGGCAGCCAGATTCGGGGCCGCATACACCTGTTGACCATCATTTGCTTCCAGGAATAGACGGTGTAACTCTGGTCTACAACATATATGTTACAGGGGAAACAGGACAAGCCACTGTTCCGCATGTAAGGAAAACCTTCGTGTCATTTCCGTCACCTAAACACAGATTTTGTATTGGTAATTCCGACACGAAACTTTTCCAGATAGCTCACGCCGGTGCCGCTGCAGCTGTTAATAGCTTGTCTGTCCAACACGAGAATAATGAGAAAGCAAATGCAGACGTCAGTCTAAATCCTTTCGTTGTTAAGGATTCAGAGATTCTCCGTCACCCAGGTAAATGCACCTCCTTCGATTCACGTCTCCTTTTCGCCTGTATTTTCATCTACTGCACTTCAATAGAGTCAGACTTCCTGCTACGCATATGCAGCTCATGAATGCCAGTGCACAACGCCAAAATGCCCTTATTAATCCTGGATTTCCCCAACAAGGTGTAGAATTCCTTCGCAGTCTTGTCTGCTGGTTGGATTATAACCTTCTTGTCGCAAAAAGAGAGGTTTCGATTTTACGGCCAAGGAAACCCGATTTTGGGGTTCAACAAATTATCAGGTTCATCGGTACTCAAATCCAGAGCATCAACACCAAGAACAAGCGACATACATCTCCAGATCCTGTGCGGTTTCGCAGGTACTGAAGCATTGCACCATCCGATCGAACCATTGCTCGTCGGCTGGTTCGTACTGTTCTTTCCCGGAAATAAGTCGACTAATTCGCAAAACTTAGCAACACAAACGTAGGATGCCAGAAAGGCAGCGGTTTCTGTTGGGCGATAGATTTTCCTGGGCACTATGCCGCTTTTAACAAAACGATCAATGAAGAACAAGTCGCAGAGAGAGACCCCAACTCGGCTGGAGCAGATCTTCAAAAGCACTTTATACCTAAGTCGTTTAAAAAAAAGTCGGGTTCGCTTTCTGCTGCCATTAGTGTAGCGTTCCGAGACCTGGCCGGTGTAAGAAGTCATCATGTATTCTGAAGACAACAGGACAAATTGGCCTGAGCATGGCCCGAAGGTCAACCCACGTGTACAAGGACCAGACGAATCCTAAGTGACTTCCAAACATCATGCGGTCAAATAAACAAAAGTATTACAGTGATACAGCGTTCGAAATGACTCCTCGCCTCCTGCCTAAAAAGCTTAAATTGTAGCAACCAATATTTTTTACATCTGTAGCTGTTGACTGCGGTTCGCACTTCTCCTCTGTAGGGCTTTTTATAACAGAATTTTTCGTGGATGGGTTTATTTGGCTCTATTAGTGATTTACACGGACTAAGAAGGCGTATGGAAGGTCGAGCGCAGTTATGGGGCGAAGGGCGTCTCCTCGGCAGACACCTCGAGCACGGCATTTGAATCGATTTCCCACTTCCCACTTCTACGAGTCATTTAAATGCCTCATATTTTGTCCTCTGCCTTTGGCTCCTTAAACTTTATAAACTTGATTGTGTATGAAAATGTTTTGTTCGGGAAGTGTCTTGAATTTCCGTTGGTTAACAAAGTTTAAATGAATTAGAGGTATGTCACTCGATGTAGTGATCTTTTCCCACTCTTGTCAAGGTAGCACTTTAGATTTCATCAATAAGCGTTTGAGTAAGCATTGTTAGAAATGCCTACATACGACTTGTGTGTGTTTAGTAAATGGCAAGAAGAAAATCTTTAGATAATTGAAAACATCAGAACACAAATTCACAACTTCCTGTTATTAGTACCTTCTTATCTTTGTAAAAAAAAGTAAGTAGTCTCACTTAGGCGTGGGTACTACAATAACTTCACCCTCTTCTGCATTACGTTGTTTCTTGTACAGCCGTGGCGACTTCACCAGGTGGATTGACCCTTGGTTTATGTTGACAACCCGTTTCCTCTCCATTCGCTTATTATGTACATCTCTTCTAAGACTTATGACGCAACCCCCACCTAATTTACTGTTGGTTTTGTTAATTGTGTGACCCTAGGAATGCTTGCCTGCTTTGTATTGTGTGCAGAGACAAAAACTGAAATGTGATAACATTCCTTTTACTAAAAGACTGTTTTATTATCTTCATCACTTCTCAGCTTTGGCCACGACTAAGCAAACGAAGTTCAGTCAACTTGCCGGTGTTGTATACTGCCTAAAGGCAGATATTTTTACTAAAATTAGCCAATTGTATAAACAATCTCAAGGACTGAAATGTATTATCACATGACCTTTGCAATAAAGTGATAACTGAACAGTTAGGCGTAAGCAAATCGCCCCCAGCTTTTGGCATGCAGAGAGGAACAGAATAGATTCACCGTCCGAAACGGAGGACAAACGAAACTGATTTGCGTTTATGACTTTCGAATTCGTCCAGATTTGATTTAGTAAAGTTCAAAGAATCATAGCACAAATGGTGAACTTTAAAGGATAGCAGAGAGCTAACTCGATTCAGCAGCGTCATCATGACCGATGCAGCACTTTACGGGCTTTATTTAGCACGCTTTGTTGTTAATTTCATTGCAATAAGCACACAAGAAACCCGAGGGAGTTGTTGAGTGATTCTCCCAGCCGACACTTACTGAGAAGAAGCGAATATATTTGCCTTAAACTAACGCAATATTTTTTCACCGTTTTAGTCACATTAGCCCGGAAACAATCGCACTTACGAAAAATTACTTGTGGCACCACCGTTCGCATTAAACATTCCGTTAGTTGAAGTAAGTACGTCGGAAGGAAAAAACAAAGGATGGCTAAATAGGATCTTCGGGAGCGTGTCTGACCGAACTTCACTAATCTTAACCGTCACTCTAGTTCATATGCCAAAGATGCAACTTTAATGTTCATTTAAATGAATTCTTGCCTTTCATGACAGCAAAAAAGCAAGAAAGTTTGTAAAGTAACAGCTAAACACATTTGGCCAAGGAATGTTGTATCATCCCAAGACCTTCTACTTGGTAATGAGATATAAGGCTTGGCTAAGTACTTGTATTTGGGCGGAAGGGATGCAAGCGGTGCTATGGCCGGACTCAGAGGCCAGTTCTTACAGTAGGCGCAAGATGGACGACGAATTAACAGCCGTACATACGGATTGTTAAATAGACAAAGTAGTATATCGCTCTTCTCTCCCTATGAGCAACGTCCCCGGCGCTTCCTTTGATACACTTTTCGCTTCAGCCATCACAGCATATTCGCTGCTGCAATAAAACACCCACAAGCAAGAAGCGTCAAGTGCCTCTTCTATGTGATTGAGGGAATGTACTTGACCATTCAATACCTTCAACAGGATCTACAGTTACTTTTGGCCCGAAAGCAGAAGCCAGGAGTGGGTGCCTCCGTTGACCATCAGTTGTGTTCAGGGCCAGATGGTGAAGCACTGGTCCAAAACAGATTCATAACAGGTTGAAATGGAATCGAACTCAGTCCCATATGAAAGGGGGTTCAGGGCAGTGTCATCACCATCTATGAGAGGATGCAGTGAGGGTAACTCCCAAAAGAAACGTTTTCGTACGGTTGCGATGGTATCGTTTCAGATTCTAACAGCTTACTAGTGGAATACCGGCAGATTTTCACAGCCGAATTATTTGAGCATAATTCCCATCGTAGAAGTTTACAACAAACGATGGAAATCATTACTGAGGTGGTGACGAAGTTGGATTCGTTTCCGCCGCTCCCAATATAATGTCTTGAAACTTCCCATTTGGTAATAGAAGGTATACGACATGGCCGAACACTTGAATTCAGGTAGAAAGACGTGGAGGCTCGCACAACAGAGACAAGATGGCGACAAAAGTGACCTTCCTTCATGCATACGGTTTAATAAAATACGTATTACAAGTGTCGACTCCTTTACGTCAAGACCTTGAGGAAGTTATGATTGCTATCAAACTCCGGAAAGTGGGATCCCTTCATGAATAAAAAGATTCGCCTTCTCGTGTGTGCCATTATTTATTGTGTTTAAATTTTTACGATGAAACGTTTAGCTGGTGTCATTTAAAGCGAAACGATTGCTAGACGCTTACGACCCGAGTTGATATTTGACAAATAAATAAATTGGGTCTTTACGTATATTATGCAAAAAGAACAGGAGGAGTGCTTAAAATATAGTCCAATCCCTTTTTGTTTGCACACACGCTGAGATCACTTTGATG